ATGGCTTACAGAAATATTTTATATTTTATTTGATATATTGTAGCTGATGCCTATTAAATTTTGTTATCTTTACACTGAGAGAAATAGATGAGTTTACTAATGAGCGTTTCATTGGAGCTGCTGCATATTATATCTGCAATAAATAATAGTTTACAAAAATTTTGTGCTATTAATAATTATAAAGTTAACTTTTTAAAATTTATAGATATGCCAAAAAGAATGGGACGCTGTTTAAATACTTTTTAAAAAGCCTGTGCTTTGTCAAGTTTGAATTCATTTTGACAAAGCACCCAACATTTTTTGGCATAGTCATTGAACATTAAAAAGTAATAAGTTAACTCGTTTAAAATAAATTAGTCAAAAATGACTTATTATAAGTCATATTCGACTAATCCGAATACCCAATAAAGACAAATTATAATTTGACTATATTGGGTATACTATAGTAGATTTAAATTTAAAAAAGTTAGTTGACAGTTGTCAAATGTCATATGTCAATCGTTAAAATAAAGTGACTTTCTTGTAAAATATTACAAAATGTGAAATTTTTTTATTATCTCTTTACAAAAATACTATACTATACTACAATATTTGAAAAAAATATGAACGTTTGTACTGACCTCTTGATTTCGCCTTAGTAGTGCAGTTACTAGATTTAACTGATAAAGCGATAAATATTTTGTGTTCTGTAACAGTGCCCATAAAACATTCTCTTCTCGTTTACTGTGAAAAACTGCTTCTATATCGATTGTTAGTCTATTTTCAAGGGATAAATTTTGATTTACACAGAAAAATTTGACATTTTAAGGCCGGTAGAATGCCAAATTAGAAATTCTAACGGGAATTCCAATAAATACAACTTTTTGTACCTTTAACTTTTTCTGTGTAAGAATTTTTATTGCTTTATGATAATATTTTGCAATTATAGTAATAAAAAAATCAAGGATGAAATATTTTCTTACAATCATATTTTAAAGTTATTTTAATATTTTAAAGTATTAATAATTGTTAAGTTTAATTAAAATAATAACGGGCAATGTTAACGGTGAAAATTACGTCAACTATGTTTTTTAAAATGGTTACTTTATTTTCGTGTAGATGTCGCTTTATACAAATATTTAATTTAAATTATTTAATTAAATTAAATTCGTGACTAAAATGGCGTTTATTAAACTTGATTTATACTATTAAATTATATTATTTTATACTTTTTCGTGCGTTAACTTTTTAGTCTTAAAATTTAGTTTGTTAATTTTTTAGATACTTACATAGATTTGCCATATAAAAATTAGAATAAAGTCTGCTTGACAAAACCTTTTATTTGAGGAGGTTGTGAAAAAAATTTGAATATATTAAAAATATTGGAAATTTTGAAAATATTGGAAATTTTATAAATTTTTGTAAATTTCAATAAATGTGATTAGGGTTGGGAAATTTCATGAAATTTATGAAATTTATTGAAACTTTCAATAAATTTCAATCACTTTAAGTGTAATATATTAATATTGAAATAAGCCCACTCGGGGACCATGGCTAATTGCCTATCTTACCTCCTACCCCTCTGTGGGCCCCTGCACCAATAATATAAATAGTAAATACCTATGTTTACCACAAATTTCTTGAGATTTCCTTTTAAAATATTTTTAAAATTACTAAAACTAAAAGAGATATAGCACTTTTTGGTAAGCTAATGAGATTGTGCCACTTTCATTGTTTTATATTTATATAAATTTATGATTTTTAAATATTTTACTGAAATTTTACGAAAATTGAAGAAACTTCATCAAAATTTATGAGCCAAAGGCATTTTTTATCCGTTTTCCGATGCAATTATAGCAAAAGTAAAAGTTTAAATTAATCATGACTTAAAAAAAAAACTTAAAGTCTGATTTAATTTAAAAATTAAATTGGTAACTGAATTAAATTATTTAAATTAATTTATGCCTATAAGTAACAATAATTACTAATAGTGTATTCAAATCCAAGCCGAACTAAACAAAAACGCCCAGACGCTTGACAACTCGTTCTTATTGGTCGATTCGGAATCTGTTGTAAATTATTATTAAAGGTCCCAGGGGAGGCCGCATGTGAAATTTATGCGAAATTTTCAATAAATTGCGAAACTTTCAATGAAATTTCTGAAACTTTCACAGGCAATGTTGAAATTTTCGGATTGAAAATTTCATTTGAAATTTTTAAAACTTTCACTTTTCCAACTAAATGAAATATTTCAAGTTTGAAACTTTCAAAATTGAAATTTTCATTTGAAAATTTTGACTGTCCCAACCCTAATTGTGATAATTTTGGAAGCAAAAATTTTTGAAAATTTTGACAATTTTAAATAAATAAAAATTTTAAAATCTACCCGTCAAACCCTTTCTTTTGATACCCATATCAAAGAGGATGTAAAAAATTGGTAATTCGCCATCTTGGATCGGCCGCCATATTGGATTTAGTATGACATCACTAATTGTTTTATACTCGTCAAACCCCTTTATTTCATACCCATAATGAAGGGTTGAAGCGGCGGACATTTTGAATAAATTACAATATTAAGTACACCAAGACTGTGTTCAAAATATAAGCTAATCGTTAGTTAAAATCGACTTCCTAGATTTGTGGACATAATTAGTGAGTTTGCTTAGAAATGAAACTAATAAAGCTAACAAACCGTGTAAAAATACAAACACGTAGCTACTTTTTTTGCTTTTGCAAACACAATTATTAACAGTTAATCTTTACTTTCCAAGGCCGCAGAAAAAAGCAATAAGCAAAAAATACAAATATCGATAATTTTGCAGAGAAAATCATAGAACAGTTAATTACTTCGATAACTATGAGAATATTCCGTGGTGGAAACATTAATTTAAAATTATACGCAGTATTTATTCCTATAGTATATTTATTGCATAGGTTTATTACAATACAATTATAACAACAATCTATAACTAAAATATAGTAAGAAAATATAAATTAAACAACCATAATAAATATCTTATTAAATATATATTAAATATACATAATATGTTACTACATACAACATACATTTTTTCGCATCTCTGATAGTTTTTGGAATTTTTTTTCTTTTAAAATAGTTCTGATTGAGACTAACCTCCATGATTTTATTCAGTTTTTGTAAAGCCATTCAAGAGATATAAACTTTGGAGGCTAGTTTTAACCAGACTTACTGGAAGAAAAAAAAATCAAAAAAATCAGAGAGGCAAAAGCAGAATGATGTCAGATTTGGCGTGGAATGCCCCTTATTTTATAGCCCATACGTAGGTATAATAATTTCTAGATAAAAAATTCAAATTTATAGATATGTATCACACAGACTTGTGCTTAGGCTAATTTTATAATTGTGTGTAAGTTTTTCTAAATCTAATTAGGTAGGTAGACATTTATTATTACTTTTATTAGTTTTGAAATTTTTTAAAAGAAACGAGCAGTACTTTCTTAGCGTTTTAAAGATGGTTAAAGAATGCAAAATTAGTAAAAAATTTGTAAAAATATTTTTTGTCAAAAAAGGACCATACAGCTAATTTTTAAAATAAACTGGCGTTAAATCCAACAATAATAATTGATAAGTCAGGATTGACAAGAACACTCCTACTGTAAAAATTTAAGATTAATTTATCAACAAGTTTTAATTTTACAAGCCATTTTTGAAAAAATGTAAAAAGTGAATTTCGTTTCTTTATTTACCCAAGTAGCACAACTGGTTAAATTAACGTTAACGTTAAATTTACGTTATGCCTGGTTAATTAATTTAAGCAATATACATTGTATATTATACAACCGTTGTACTACACTCACAGGCAAAATAATCGATCCACACAAATTTTCGATGAATTTCAATCGCAAATATCTTTTTTATTTGATGTCGGATTTAAACGAATATTAAAGAATATTGTAGACAAATTAATGGATAATCGCTCACATTTTAAAAAATTACTAAAAAATAGACGTACGTTTATAATATAGAGGTTTAAACAAAAGGATGTTTTTTACCATAACTTTAAGACACTCTGTAGTGTGGCAAAACCGTATATTGTTCTAAATTAAGTTTTATTTATCAAGTCACATCTATTCTTAACAGTTTCGTTTTTGGTTTACCTCGATATATTAATTTTTGTGGAAAATATGGATTTTTAAAAAAAATATTGCAATTTAAAATATTTTTCTGTATGAAGAACTAAGGTTGCTATGGTCCATCCATATGCTATGGAGAATGACAGTAACAGTTTTGTTGAATCATCCCATAGGACATGTCATACACAACTTTCAAAAGCTATCAAATTGTTTTTTGCAAATTAATGTTTAAATTTTGAGGTGTCTTCTTACTTTAAAAAATGGGTATGTCTCCGACTGATGTTGCCAGAGCCATTAATTTAATCCAGGATGGACGGTCACACTATTACGTGGCAAGTGTTTTAAACGTCATAAGAAGTAAAGTACAAAGGGCAGTCGGAGACATTTTTGAAAGTAAGAAGACACCTCAAAATTAACACATTAATTTACAAAAAACAATTTGATAGCTTTTGAAAGCCGTGTATGATATGTCCAAGTATGGGATGATTTAACAAAACTGTCACTGTCATCCTCTATAGGCTATGGATGGACCATAACAACCTTAGTTCTTCATACAGGAAAATATTGGAAATTGCAATGTTTTTTTAAAAAAATCCATATTTTCCACAAAAATAAATATATCAAGGTGAACCAAAAACAAAACTGTCAATAATAGATGTGACTTGATAATTAAAACTTAATTTAGAACAATATACGGTTTAGCCACTCTAGAGAGTGTCTTAAACTTATGGTAAAAAACATATTTTTGTTTAAACCTGTATTATTATTATAAACGTACGTGTATTTTTTAGTAATTTTTAAAATGTGAGCGATTCTCCATTAATGTATCTACAATATACTTTAATATTTGTTTAAATCCGAAATCAAAGTTATTTGCGATTGAAATTCATCGAAAATTTGTGTGGATCGATTATTTTGCCTGTGAGTCTATATTTATATACATAGGTATATTTTATTGGTTAAATTATACTTAAAAATAACTTCTGAAGTTACCTTAAGGTTATAGCAACCGGTTGGTAAATTTAAAGGGATATTTTTTAGTTCATGGTTAAATATAACTAATTGGTAAAAAACAAGTTTAAAAAACCTTATTTTACTTAGATTTTAGTTAATTTACTTAGAATGCTAATTATTTAACCAGTTCTGCTACTTGGGCATGGGAATCTACACCAGCATATTTCACCATCAAAAACTGGAAATTGCTAGCGCATCCTCTGTATTCTCCAGATTCAAAACCCTGTGACTTTAAGCGACGATTTTGAGGAAAAAGAGCAATAGCTTTAATCTGAAGGAATGAATGAAAAGATGAAAAAAACTTAATCTGTACCAAAATATGGTATTTTTCATACTCATTCTAACGACTATTGCACAAATAATACTTGTATTGTAAAATATGGATTCGAGAATGCTTTATAACTAACTAAAAATCCATAAATCATGGACAAGACAAGTCGTTGTTGCTTGAATTCAAAATGCATCGAAGACATCTTCTGCATTGTTTATCTGCCGCCGTTCGAGAAGCAGGTCGGAATCGCATTCGACCATTTTCCGTTACGAAGACATTTCAACATCGCCGCTCCTTTCAGTTGCAAGCCATCGTCGCAGGAGAACGTAATGTTCTCCCCGATCTTGTAGTAGAACTTGACGGCGGACATTCTTCCGCTTATGGTCGTGCCGGGATAAGAACACGCTTGCAGACCTGCAAAAATCACGACCAAAAAGGATTACAACGATGAGCACAGCAAGACTATACGCTAAAGAAGTATCGCTAGTAGCGCCACCACTCGCCCTGATAGCACAGTTTATTCTAAGAATGTTTTTTAAACCTTCCAGTGGGAATATTCTCAGGATCATGCTATATTTCTTCTAGTCATGTTCTAAGAATGTTTTTTAAACCTTCCAGTGAGAATATTCTTAGGATCATGCTATATTTCTTCTAGTCATGTTCTAAGAATGTTTTTTAAACCTTCCAGTGAGAATATTCTTAGGATCATGCTATATTTCTTCTAAAGAACATGCTTAAAAGAAATATAATCCTAAGAATATTCTCACTGGCCTATAGGCAGGTTCTTAGAAGGTGCAAAGTTTAATGGTAAAAATTAATCCACTCTAAACATATGCTCAGAATGTTGAGAAAGTAATTGCTATAGAAAGTTCATTTAGGAATATTCCTGGAACATTCAGTTCAGTTAGGTACCTATATAATAGTAAAATATACCATAATCTACGTATAAAGGTACCTATACTTACTATTAAATATTAAGTAAAAACACAACCCAAAATATTTTTTTATAGTTATTTGTCAAATTAAAACAATATTCGATAACAAAAATACTTTTCTCTACGACTACTTAAGAATAGTAACATTCTAGTGTAATTTTTGATCATAGAAAGGATGTTTTTCTGCAATACTGTGCGAGAATATTCCTACTCTTGGTTAAGAATGGTCACAAGTAACGACATCTCCTGGCTGTTTACTAAACGTAAAAAATTTAAAAATATTTAAATATTACTGTATTATTTATTAATTAAAAAATAATAGCAGTTGTATAATTAAGGTTTAGACAAAAAATTGGTTATATTTATTGTTTTTCAAATATACAAATCAAAATTATAATAAATTTGATATTAAAATGATAAACCAGTTACCTACTATACCGGCTTTGAAGTTTTGACAGATTCAAAAAGTTTAAAAAAAGACCTTTAAAATGTAGAAAAAGAATAGATGTTGACATAGATAAATAAATAAATAAAATAAAATAAAATACTTTATTTTCATCCCAAGAAACATACAGTTTATAGAGGGACACCTCTAATCATACAATTACTTGTAAAATTAGTTTTGTATTTGTTACAATGTTATTTTTTTTATTAGTTAGTGTAAATAACTATTTTTAATTATAATAAAGATTTAGGCATACCATTTGTTTAAGTTTATTATAATTTACATTATAAAATTGTGACGGCACAAAATGGTTTGACAGTACAAAAACTTAAATGTCAAAAACTGCTTGGTTTCTTTTCTCTGTTTAAAATTATATAAGCGTTACTATTCTTACGTAGTCGTAGAGAAAATAATGTCTGAAACACGTTTGGAATAGCATATTCCACTCTCGTAAAACCGTCACACTCGCCTTCGGCTCGTGTGTCAAATTTTTCCTCGAGCGGAATATGCTGTATTCCAAACTTGTTACAGAATGTACTATTACTATAGGTATCTAAATTATCCGGCTTTTATATAAAATCTTCTATCAAACTTAAATACAATGAAAAATGTTTTTTTTATGAAGAACTATTTGGTTTTTTCTTTTATGAAGAATTATTTTATAAGGAAATATTTTGTTTTTTTATATTTTATTTTTTGTTAAAAATAAATATTTATTAATTTGTATACCGATTTTTTATATCTGAATTAACATTTTTATGTATAATAATCCTAACTATCTTCAACTTCAATCTAATCTGACTTATCCCACAAAATTTTCCAGTTTTACTTTTTATGAAATAATGTCAAACAACTTATGGTTTACAGGTCAAATTGTTTATTTAATATTTTTAAATAAATATATATTAATATGTCGCAAAATTTTTTAAGGGGACGACAAATACATTTCACTGTCATATAATGACAGTGAGGCCTATTTGTCGCCTCCTGAAAAATTTTACGAATGTAGAATCCAACATATTAGAACGTGGGTATCTGACATATTTGGAAATACTCTCAAAAGCTTCCTAGAAGCTCCATAAGAAACCTTCTAAAAACATTCCAAAAACGTATTCTTAAAATGTTCTTAGAATGCTTTTTAGGAAGGTTTTAAGAAGCTTCTAAGAATCTAATTGCATCATTAAACGGGTATCTATTGAATGTTTTAAAAGTCCCTAAGAACATTCTTAGCAATAAGGGAAGCTTCTAAGAATATTCCATTATTCCGGGTCATATCTTCTTAGAAGATTCTTAGAATCAAATTTTGCTATCAGGGTAGGTATATTTTGTTGTTTATAATGCAGTTGTCGGCGTTTTTTAGAGAACTCAAGTATAAAAATGGTTGATTTTAAGGTTATGTTTGTGCAAAAATTATGTTTTACAAATTTCTTAAAAATGTTCAAACTTAAATATAAATTATATTAGGTAAAGTTATCATTAGTTAATTCTGCACCAACAAATGTACTTACCGAATTGGATCCTTAGGCAAAACATAAAAATGCAATAATTCACCATGATCCCTTAGATAAAATGCACACACTAACGCAACTATATAAGCATTTAAGCGTTGAGTTTCTTAATCAATGATATAAGTAATAATCAATCGAAATCGAGTACTAAAAATGTTTTTTAATTTTTTTACTTGCAACGTAAAACACAAATAACGTGCGCGATTTAGCTGTGCAATTGAACAAAATTTCTCGAGTAAGACTCCTATTTATTTAAAAATGATAATCTGTGCTTTAAATGTATTGTTGACAATTCTTAAATTCACGCAATGCTATCGAAGTCCACCAGATGGCGCGCGCGTTGCGAAAACCCGATACTTCTTTAGCGTATTGTGTAAAAATATTTTCTGTTTAAAGCTAAATTTCTCACATTTTGGCAATTTTCCAGACCACCGCCCGTTTTCCTGGCAGGCTATGATCGGCTGCCCTTCCATCATGTAATCAGGATTACAATTGAACTGTATAACATCCCCTGCTTTGTAGGGGCCAGTTCCTTGAATGTAACCATTATCAGGTGGTGTAGGAAGATCGCAAGTCACCTCTGCAAAGGTCACAAACATCGTAAACAAAAGAACAACATTAATTTTTCATGAATGTAACGTAACAGTTCCATAAAAAGAGAATGTGGGACACAACACATTTAATAATTGCAATTAAGCATTATTGTTACAGGGCCGTTCTGCGCATTCCAAATAAAAATATTGGGTGGGAATTAAATCTTAAAAATAACTATAATTAAACATTCACTACTTTTTGTAACAAAAAAAATTAAACAGACACATAAAACCAACAAAAAATATGAAATTAAAAAAAGTACAAGAATATAAAAATGAAGAATACAAATTAAAAGTGAAAAATGAGGAGTGGCAAGTAAAGAGTGAAAAATGAAAAGTAGAAAAAGAAGAATAAAACATAAAAAATAAGAAATGAAGAAAAAAGAACGAATAATAAAAAATGAATAATAAAATAAAATATAAGAATCAATTGATTCTTAAGTGTGAAAAATAAAGAATGAAGGTAAAAAACAAAAAATAAAAATTAGAAATAAAAAATACAAACATTTAAACAATTAACTATACATAATATTGTTCATACAAACAAATTAAAAAAAAAGGGGCAACAAATATTTTTTAAATAGGTATTGTTAATATATTATTAAAAAATCTGTAATTATTGTTTTCACTGTGTTTTTAACGATTGTATTTAATAAACTTTTTTTAATACATAAATCAAAAACAATTTTTCTAATACAATTTACAAAATAATCAAAAAATAATAAAAAAAAGAGTAGGTACAAATTAAAAAATTAAAAGTGAAAAATAGGGAGTGAAAAGTTAAGAGTGAAAAATGAAAAGTAGAAAAAAAGAATAAAATATAAACAATAGGAAATAAAGAACAAAAATTTACGAAAAAAAAGTACAAAATGTAGAAGAAAAAAGAACATAAATTAAAAACAAAAATATGGGTATATTGCAAAAAAAATTAAATATTGTAAATAAATATTGTATTTATATCATCCATAGTAGTATTGTCCTTTTTTTTAATAAAAAAAATCAAAAACAATTTTTTTAATACATTTTAGGTACACAACAAACAAAAAATAATAAAATTATAAAAATAATAATAAAGAATACAAATTAAATTAAAAGTGAAAAATGAAGAGTGGAAAGTGAAGATTTAAATTGAGATTGAAAAGTAGAAAATTAAATATAAACAATTAGTAATAAAGAAAAACAAATTACGAATTAAAACAACAAAGTGTAGAGGAAAAAAAGAATGAAAAGTAAAAAATGAATAATAAAAATGGAATATAAGAATCAAGAGTGAAAAATTAAGAATAAAGGTAAAAAACAAAAATGTAAAAAATGGGTATATTGCATAATAATTAAAAGTGAAATATAAAGAATGTAGTTAAAAACGGTAAATAAAAAATAAGTAACGAAAAATAAAAAATGTTACAATTAATAATATATGTAATTTAATAAAGGACAAAAAATGGGTATATGGCAAAAAATGATTTAAATACTGTAAATATACATGTATTATTAAAAAACTATAAAAACGTAGTTTTAACTGTAATTTTTTAAGAATTATTTTTAAACACAATTTTTTTAAAGATAAATTATAAAATTAAAATAAATAAAATCTGACATCTATCAGATGGTTAACCTCACTTTCTACCAACTTTAAATATTTAAAACCGAATTGGTTAAAGTTCACGGTGAATGTTGAAAGCGGCCAATCACTGATGATTAACAACTTAAATAATAAGTTCATTATTCCCGTTGTTAGACGCAACGGTTATAATGGTTACCATTATATATGGAAAACACCCAATATTATGCAATAGGAGTGGATAAAATTAGGTAAAATATTAGTTTTTAAAAATAAATATTTGAATCTGTATAACTAGTGATTTTGTTTAGAGTGTACCCCACCCACAGACTCAACCAGACGGTCTTTTGGATCTCATCAGTGCCGGGCAGCCATGCGGTGTGTAGCAGACTTTGAAACACTGTCACGACCCTAAAAATACTATTCGGGTTTAAAAAAAGCTGCCCTGCACTAATGAGACCCAAAAGACAGAGATTAAAAATTACTTTATTAAAAGTTAGAATAACGTCGTTAATAAACATTTAATTAACACCCAGGCATAGTTTAATATGTAAAATAAATTGCCTTTAAAATAAATATACCTACGTGCTGAAATACTTAGTTTTAATTTTTTGCTATTGCATACAACTCGTAAATTAATCTTAAAATGTTGACACTGTTTTAATGAATGTATAAACTTATTTATTATGCAATACCCAGTATCCCACATTGTTTCCTTAGTAGGTACGTAATTTAATTGTATACATTTACTCAACTAAACAATGCTCACGCCCAAAATATAATGTAAAATATATCAAGTCAAATTTCATAGAACAATGGCCTTGCTAATGACGAGCCTCAATTCTAAAAAGCACAATTTTTAGGATTTAATTATTTTGTTAAATTTAGAGGATCCTAATTATTATATGGCATACCTGATTTTGGTACCTAATAGTGCACAGTGCTTTATTGGGAACCCTTTCCCTGATAGCACAATTTATTCTAAGAATGTTTTTTAAACCTTCCAGTGGGAATATTCTTAGGATCATGCTATATTTCTTCTAGTCATGTTCTAAGAAGGTTTTTTAAACCTTTCATTGAGAATATTCTTAGGATCATGCTATATTTCTCCTAGTCATGTTTTAAGAATGCTTTTTAAACCTTCCAGTGAGAATATTCTTAGTATCATGCTATATTTCTTCTAAAGAACATGCTTAAAAGAAATATAGCATAATCCTAAGAATATTCTCACTGGCCTATAGACAGGTTCTTAGAAGGTGCAAAGTTTAGTGGTAAAAATTAATCCACTCTAAACATATGCTTAGCATGTTGAGAAAGTAATTGCTATAGAAAGTTCATTTAGTAATATTCCTGGAACATTCTGTTAAGCATATTCAGTTCAGTTAGGTACCTATATAATAGTAAAAAATACCATAATCTACGTATAAAGGTACCTATACTTAGTATTAAATACTAAGTAAAAAACAACCCAAAATATTTTTTTATAGTTATTTGTCAAATTAAAACAATATTCGATAACAAAAATACTTTTACTATAGGTATCTAAATTATCCGGCTTTTACATAAAATCTTCTATCCTACTTAAATACAATGAAAAATGTTTTTTTTTATGAAGTACTATTTGGTTTTTTCTTTTATGAAGAATTATTTTATAAGGAAATATTTTGTTTTTTTATATTTTATTTTATGTTAAAAATAAATATTTATTAATTTGTATACCGATTTTTATTTCTAAATTAACATTTTTATGTATAACAATCCTAACTTTCTTCAACTTCAATCTAATATGACTTATCCCACACAATTTTCCAATTTTACTTTTTATGAAATAATGTCATACAACTTATGGTTTAGAGGTCAAATTGTTTTTAATATTTTTAAATAAATATATATTAATATGTCGCAAATTTTTTTAAGGGGGCGACAAATACATTTTACTGTCATATTATGACCGTGAGGCGTATTTGTCGCCTCCTGAAGAATTTTACGAATATAGAATCCAACATATTAGAACGTGGGTATCTGACATATTTGGAAATATTCTCAAAAGCTTTCTAGAAGCTCCATAAGAAACCTTCTAAGAACATTGAAAAAACGTATTCTTAAAATGTTCTTAGGATGCTTTTTAGGAAGGTTTTAAAGAAGCTTCTAAGAATCTAATTGCATCATTAAAAGGGTATCTATTGAATGTTTTAAAAGTCCCTAAGAACATTCTTAGCAATAAGGGAAGGTTCTAAGAATATTCCATTATTCCGGGTCATATCTTCTTAGAAGATTCTTAGAATCAAATTTTGCTATCAGGGTTGGTATGCCATATTCGGTAACTTTAAATCCAAGGCATCATATTAAGCAGTGCACAACATATACAACATACACCAAACGAACCTTCGCAGACTGGGTAAGGAAGGGCCCACTCTCCATTGGGCTGGCACACTGTTTCCTGTGGGCCTCTTATTCCGAACCCAGAATCGCAGCTGAATACGGCCCTGCCTCCTACTTCTCTCGACACCACGAGGGCTTTTAATCGGGCCCCCAGACCAGGGCCGACTTCACCGCACTCTACACCTGCATAAGCATTACTCCATAGTGATATATTGTGGAAATTATGGACAATGATACTAAATTTATGTAATGGAAAGTGAGAGCATTTTTTCGATATTAGCGTTTGCAAAAGGTAAAAAAGTTTAATAAAGACATACATGTTAATGATCTGGTGATACCAGTCTGGTATGATTTTAATCTTTTATGTGTTGGTTAATTAAATTTAATATGTATACGTGTACCAAATTATTCATTCATGCTCGTGTCTATTTGGTTAAAAAAAATGTTTAATTTTAAATTTAATTAAAGTAATAAGGCTATGCATATACAAGAAGGGTGAGTCATAAAACCTTCGGAGTTTCTAAAGAGTTAATTAAAAGTGAAGAATGAAAAATTAAGAATTAAACCAAAAAAATAAAAATGGTAAAAAATGAAGTTGATAATTAAAGTAGATAATTAAATGATTTTAAAAAATAAATAAATTATTTATGACATTTGTCAGATGGTTAACCTCACTTTTTACAAATTGTAAATATTATTAGTCACCTTCTCCCAATTTAAAACTCGATTGGTTCAAATCACAGTAAATATTAAAATCGGAAAATCACTGATGCCTAAGAACGTGAATAATAAATTCATTATTCCCGTTGTTAGGCAGGGATTTTATATTAATGTTTATCATTATATACGGAAAACCCCAATAGAAGTAGATAAAACTATTTATTTAACTTAACAAAAATATTGAAAAATAAGAAATTAAAATAAAAAGTGAAACGTGAAAAAATAAAAAATATAAAATTAAGAGTGAAAAGTAAAAAAAAAAATAAAAATTGAAAAATTAAAAATAAAAAAATTAAGAATAAAAAGTAAAGAATTAAAAAAAAACAATTATAAAGATTAAAGAGTGAAAACAATAAAAAATATATACATAAATAAAAAATTAAGAGTAAAAAGTAAAGAATTAAATAAACAATTAAGAAGAATAAAAAGTGAAAATTTAACAATAATATTAATAGTAATAATAATACTTTTACAGATAAACCATTTACATTTTTTTAATTAGTTAATTAATAATAATTTATATTAAAACTATTTAACTTTTTTCAAACAATAAAAAAATATATATGAAGAATAAATATTATGAGTAAAAACAAAATTTCAAAAGTGAAATGAAGAATAAAAAACAAGAAATTAAAATAAAAAAGAAAAAGTAAAAAATGATAAAAGAAAAAAAACAAAAGTACTCTTCAGTGAAAAATGGAAAGTGTAAAACGAAAAACGAAGAATAAAATATGAATAAAATAAAAATAAAAAACGAATTATTAAGTATAAATAAAATTAAAATTAAGAATAAGAAATAGGAAATTTAAATAAATAGTGAAAAATAAATATTAAAAATTGAAGAATAAAACCTAAAAAGTAAGAAATGAAAAGTAAAAAATTAAAAATATAGAGCAAAAATAAAGAATAAAAAATGATTATTAACAAAATCTGAAATATTAAGAATGAATTATAAAGAATGAAAACTGAAAAAAACTAAAAAATAAAAAGTACAAAATTGAGAAAGAAATATGAAAAATTAAAAGTGAAAAATGAAATCTAAAAAATTTAAAATGAATGATACAAAATTTAACAAAAATTAATAAGTACTTATAACAATTAAAAATAAATAGGAAATTTTATAAAATACATTATAATATTATAAAAACTGAAAAATAAAGAATAGGAAATAATAAATTTGATTTAGAAGTAAAAAATAAAGAGTAAAACTGAGGAATGAAAATAATGAATGCAAAATAAAGAATTAAAAATATAAAAGATATGAAAAATGAGAAATGAAGAATAAAAACTAAAAAATATAAATTAAAAATGAAAACTGAACAATGTAAAAAAAGATCAGAATATTTTTTTTAATGTTTAAAAACTATTTTAATGCACTAATTTTATCTTTCCTAAATACCTAATTAAAAGTGAAATGACGAATGTAAAACAAAAAATAAAGCATGGAAAGTGAAAAAATAAATAATAAAAAATGAAGAATAAAACTAATAAGTTTCAAAAATTAAAAACAAAAATACAGAATAATTTAATTAATAATTTTTATTAACAAAATCTAAAATATTAAAAATGAATTATAAAGAATGAAAACTGAAGAATGACTAAACAATAAAACGTAAAAAAATTAAGAAAGAAATTTGAAAAATTAAAAGTGAAAAATAAACAAAGAATGAAAAATAAAAACTAACAAATTAAAAATGAAGGATAAATAATGTAACAAAAATAAATAATAAAAGTAGAAAAATGGAAATAAAAAACGAATTATAAAGTATAAAAACTAAAAGACGAAGAATAAAAAATGAGAAAAACTTTTAGTCAAAAATAAATAATAAAAAATAAAGAACGAAAATGGGGACTAAAAAGTTAAAAATGATAAATGCAAAATAAAGAAATATAATAAAATATGAATTTTCAGAATAAATTATGGTGAATACCAACTAAAAAATATAAAGTAAAAAATTAGAATTAGAAAAATGAAAAATAAACAATAAAGCACGAAGAACAATAAATAATGAATAATATGTAAAAAATTAAAACTAAAATAGAAAATACTGAAGAATGTAAACGAAAAGATAAGAAGATTTTTTTTTTAATGTTTAAAACCACTTTTAATGCATCTTTCCCAATATATGTTCTAAACGAGAGGCAGTAAATTCACATAGATAACCAGCACCCATCTTGGGCGCAATCTGTGTTGCCTATCGACATTCAAACTTCCTGCTGCAGTTACGCTCAGCAGGAACAAGATGCAGCGATTAAAGCGATTAGAACTTACTTTCGCAGATAGGAAACGGGGAGCTCCAGTTGCCGGAAGGAAGGCAGGTAATGTCGGCGGCGCCTATCAGCGAGTTTCCGTTGTTGCAGGAGAATTTTATGCGGGAGTTCATCTTTGTCTTCTGAGAACTCACCGCCAGCCCGCGACGTTGCGGCACGCCGGGACAATGAACGGCTGAAATAAATTTTGTTAATTGTGACTTGGCAGAAGATTTATACATTTAAATGTGTGTAAATAAACTGAAAGAAATTTTTACATTTTAATACAACATTTCATACTCGTTTTAGTTGAAAATTACATTATAATGTACCAGTACCTATAAATATAGTTTAATTTTGTTTAATATGTAAAAAGACATACGAATTCTAAAAACTACAAATTTAATAAAATAATTCGGTCACAAAACTGAACGTTTTTTGAAACAAATATTTATTTACTCGTCTACATTAATGTAGTCGCCTTCAAAATAGTTCCCATTGGATATTATGCACATGTGCCAGCTCTTCTTCCAATACTCGAAACACTTCTAAAACTTGATCTTTGGGATAGCCTTTAGTTCTTTCAGCGATGCGCTTTTAATGTCATCTATGCTTGCAAAACGATGGCCCTTTAAGGTTCTCATTTATAATCCAAATTAATAAGTGCATTTAAGTGGAAGGCCACCATTTTAAGCACCTAATTTAAAATGCCTATTCACTGAGATATTTTAAAGTTTTAAGTGAAAAGACTCACTCTTTATAGCTCGTATCTGAACGTTGCTTATGCCAATTAAAATTGGATCTAAAATTTGATATTTAATATCATTATAAAGTTTTAGAACTTAATACCTTTGTGCATAACAAACAGTTCAATTAGACTGATAACACTATAGATAATGCTTGAGATTTTAATATTGAAATTTTAATATTGTTACCAAATTGGAAGTTGTGTTTGCTATTTGTTTATAGATGTAATCAATACTTTTCATTTTAAAAACAGAATATATTCACAGGTGACTAAATCTAAAAATTCAGCGGTTCATAAAATGTTTGCTTCTCTAATTTACCTACATTGAAAGATATTTATTCCGACATACGAGGTGTGTTCAGAAAATATCGGCAATTGTTAAATTTCGCGGGTTTGGAGGGTCCGGTTGCCATAAAATTTTCTTTATTATGTTGGTATACATGCCTCCGAAGTATGATAAAAACTTTAGCTGTTTTCATTGTTTACTTTGTCTGTGGCAGCCGCTAAGGTTAGACGTGTTTTTTGAGCTCGGCGATTTTTCGTTCGTTAAAAGAAATGTATCCAATTTTGCTTAAAAAATGAAATAAATTCTGTGAAATGTTAAGAGAGACCTATAGTGAGTCTGCTATAAGTAAAACAAGAGTTTACAAGTGGTATAGGAGTTTCCAAGATGGCCGTGAAGACGTTGAAGATGACGAACGCCCCGAACGCAAAAGCACATTAACAACCGATAAAAACATGGAAAAAGTGGAAGAAATGGTTATATCAGAGAAGTCGCTGATGATGTTGGTATATCGATTGGCTCATCCCATGAAATTTTTTCGAATGTTTTGGGTATGAAACGTGTGGCAGCAAAATTTGTTCTAAAATTGTTAAATTTTGAACAAAATTTTTGGCCAAAAACAATACTGTAATGATGCCCCAGCCTCCATATTCGCCAGACATGCCTGTCTGACTTTTTCCTATTCCCAAAAATAAAGAGAACCTTAAAGGGCCATCGTTTTGCAAGCATAGATGACATTAAAAGCTCATGGCTGAAAGAACTAAAGGCTATCCCAAAGATCGAGTTTTAGAAGTGCTTTGAGTATTGGAAGAAGAGCTGGCACATGTGCATAATATCCAATGGGGACTAATTTGAAGGCGACAACATTAATGTAAACGAATAAATAAATATTTGTTTCAAAAAACGAAAATTCCCGATATTTTCTGAACACACCTCGTATATATAATATATAAAATATATAAAATACCTATTTACTGAGATATTTCAGTTTCATGTTAAAAGACTCACCCTGTATAATATAATAAAATGAAGTAAAAATAAAAAAATCCTAAAATCCTTACCTTTAACTTCAATCTCAACTGAATGTGTGTACCTGGCCGGAGTCACACATGTGAATAGTCCAGAATCATCTTTTGTCGCGTGAAATATGGATAATCTGTATTCTAATTGAGAATCACGTCCCGGATCGGTCGACCAGCCTTCCGGGTATTTCCTGATGAAGAAAACAAGGCACGGATCATTAATATTAATATTGTCTTATAGCACTCTGATTTAAGTTCCTCAATTTAAAAAGATGTATAAAAGTTTTTGTTTTAAGTGTTAAGTCCCCTTACATTACCTATAATCGTGACTGATGGTCCATTTGGGGTTACCAAATCTTCTTATCCACAAGCATTCCATGTGCAGTATGGTTCCCGGATAGACAATAAGTTTCCCATCGTTGGATTGAGCAATGGGTCCAAGTTGATGTCGGAAGAGAATTGTTGGAGGTTTCTCCATTGAGTAGTCGTTTTCTTGATTCAAACCAAAACATGCAGGTTTAGTGCCATCCCAATCACCACCCATACACCTCCTCTTATCAGGACCTGCGTTTAATTAGTTTAAACTCAACTTAATTTTTTTCGATTCTGAACGAGCATTAATATATTATATATGAGGCCTGTCAGAGCAAAGTCAACAATCTCCCATCAGACTAAAACTGAGTAAATTGAGATAATTGATTTTGGTATTTTAAATTCTAGATTTGTATTTTTTTTTATATATTATATTGAAATATTGTTGTTGTTAGTCTAGTAGCAAACTACAAGGTCTCCAGGATGCATAGTATAGGTGAAATCTATAATTATAAATTGGAGATTGCTGACTTTGATATAAATTGCTGGAGATTGCTCATTTTGTAGTAAACGTTTAAGGAGATTTAGAAAAATAAACAAAAAAATAATTGTATTTTTTCCTATTATGGTTATCAATCAATGTGGGAAAATTCTGAACTGGACCACATAAATCTGGAGTTTCTTGTAAAAACCAGGTCGCCTCGTGCAAAAAAGTTTTTATAGTACAACAGCAATTTTTTGACATTATCAGCCTTTTCTTGCTTTACCTTTACGTCTTATTATGGCATAATAGCACAAAATAAAGATAACTTTTTTTATAATTCTTAAAACAATAAAACGTATATTCCTATTTTAAATATATTTTTAGTACAATTTACTGAAATAGAACTTAACAGTATGTTCCAGTAAAAAAACACAAAATTAAATCTCTAAACTACGTTATAACATCAAATTTTAGGATATCAGGTGACACAAGTTACTAATTTCTAATGGTGGAATTGGAGATTGTATACTTTGCTGCAAATCTATCAGTGGAGATTGTCGACTTTGCACTAAATGTCATTTTTAAAATAGGATTTTAGGCAGTACAGTCTCCGCCAAACATCTAATTTTTGACCAAAAGTGCAGATTGTCGGTTATGCTATGACATGCCTCATATATAATATATATAATATATTTACTATTACTCCCTTTAACATATTTATTTTTATTCTATAACTCTAGACAAGCTGTGCTTAAGGAGATTTTGTTTGCAGCACCTGCAGCCGGAAGATAATCCCGCTAGAGTGGAATTCGGTAGTGGTTGCTAGAGATTTTGGCTCTGTGATACAGAACTAAAGTCTATTCAAATCCAAGCTGGACTAAATGTAAACACAATCCTCCAAATAGACCAATAATAAATCACAATCCCAGTCACACGACCAGAATCGACAAATAAGAACGAGTTATCATGCGTTTGGGCGTTTTTGTTTAGTCCAGCTTGAATTTGAATAAACTTTAGTTGTTTAATTTTTACTTTAAAACATTGGCGTCCTGAAGTATGACATTCCGTTTTGAAAGGTTCGTAAACACAGTCGGACCAAAGATTTTAAAAAGTTTTAAGACAACAATGTTCTATCGTCTCCTAGCAATGTTTAACCTAGGCCACGGTCTTATATACAGGTCTTGCAACTTTAAGCTTCAAGGTGGCTTCCTTAACGTGCCAAGCCGCTAGGTGGCGCTAAGATCGAAGGGTTAAAGTCAATTAAACTACTACTTAGTTAAATGTGGAACTACTGCATAACCATAACCTAACTTTTTAAATTCTTCTATGTTTTGTTTACATTTTCAAAAATTTAATATTTGTGAGTTTGTTTCGGATAATTTACGTTAACAAAATAGGACAACAAAGTCTATACTCTATGCACAAAGTCCTCGGCCGTCACATGGCCAGACCAAACATGTAAGTAAAACAGTAATGTATAAAATACATATGTATATCATATATTTGTTACGGCTAATGTGTAAACATGGATAGTTTATAAAGTAGCTGGGTAGTTTATAAACTAGCCAAACTGTCAGCTATTTTAATTGAAAACGTATTTTTAACTAAATTAGCGGCTAGTTTGTAAACCAACCAAGGGTCTTGGCTAATTTACTTGAAATTATTTAGGAATAGCTGGATAATTTGTAAACAATCCAATTCAATTTGGCTAATATGAAAACCAAAATTTCTAGTAACACAACATAGCCAAGCTTTAGATAGTTTACAAACTAACCAACCAATATTCTGGCCAATTTATTAATAACCGATTTTTTTATTGTCTTGGCGGGGATGGGTTGATTGTTTATTTAAAATAATATATATTTCACCAACACGATGTGCTTAATTATATAATAATCATACAAAATGTGAAGGTGTCAATAATATGTTTTTTATTGCACATTGCCATGTTTTTAACCGCTCCTTATTTGTTGGCACTTTAAACATGGACCGCTTAATTTTAATGCCAGAACGATAGCTTTGCTGGTTACATTTTGGCACAACACAGGACTTCATGTCTATTAAAAAGCACAAATACAAATGTATAACAATAACAAATATAACAAGAAAAAATAAAACAATATAATATAACAATAACGAATATCACAATAAAAATAAGTAAAAACTCCCTGTAACAAAATACACAAGCTTGTTTATAAAAATGTAGGTTATGTTTCTTCACAGAACATAAGTAGGTAGTTCATTTGACCTTTTATCCCATAGACTTTAAGGACTTAGAACCGGTTTTACAATCGTTAGATTAAGTTAGCTTATTTGGCGGATAACTTTAATAGAAACCTTCTATCTAAGAAAATTATCCACCAGAGAGCTTATCTAACGATTGTAAAACCCAAAGATAAAGAAGGTAAAAACGACCTTTAAACATCTATGGTTTATCCATCCAACTCGATGCGCCATCTGGTGGGTGTCTCATTAGAGAGGTCACTTTTCCTATTGAAATTGGGCGAAGTTGCAAGACCTGTATATAAGACCGTGACCTAGGCATATAAAGAATAATAAAACGAAATCTAGTACTAAACCAAGCAGTTTTTTTGCAACGCGAAACACATTTAACAACTAATAAGCTGTGCAATTGTTGACAAACCTTGTGGTCCAACAAACCCGATGCTTCGTTAGCTTGTAATGTATCAATTCCACGTGAGTATGAAAAAAAAACGACTCACCTATCATGGCATATTTTCCAATATCCTGACACCTGCTGATCAGCACGGCCCCGGCCGGAAACTCGACCACTTCCTCGCGAATCTGCTGATCATTGTAGAAAGAAATCACGTTCGGCTCTTGGTTGCGAAAGGTGCAGGTGCTGTTATTGTTCAAATCTGATTTCGACGTCAAATCGTCTTCGTCTGTAATCGATTAATTCGGGCGTCAGAATGATGCAAGCCGATGTTACTCAAGAAACGTGCGTGCAACTGCTGACTTTATCGGAGAAGAAGTTTAAAGGTTTCATCGATAACATCGACACGATTCTCTTCGATTGCGACGGCGTTTTGTGGGACATGGAGGAGGCGATTGCGGGGTCCGCTGACGTCTTCAACATACTGGCGGATATGGGAAAAACTATGTTTCTGATCACGAACAATTCCACGAGGAGACGATCGACTTTGGCGGAAAAGGCGAGAAAGATGGGATACAAGGTGACGAAAAACGATCAAGTTTTAAATTCGGCGTATTTAACTGCCGAATACCTGAATAGTATCTATTTCGCCAAAGTGGTGTATGTAGTTGGTGCGGCTGGTATGAGCGAAGAGTTGGAACGGGTCGATATAGAAAACATCGGTGCTGGATATGACAGCACCCCCGTTGATTTCGATTGTCTTTGGGATAAAATTGATATAAACCCGAACGTTGGAGCTGTAGTCGTGGGCCACGATGTTCATATATCGTATGCAAAAATGGTGAAAGCCGTCACCTATTTAAAGGATAAAAACGTCATCTTCATTGGAACTAATGTGGATGAAAGGATACCATCAGCACCGAATTCGTTGATACTACCCGGAGCTGGGACAATGTTGCGCGCTATAGAAACTGCCTGCAAGCGTGAGGCCATTATGATAGGAAAACCCAGTTCTTACCTGAACAAATATTTAATTCAAAAACACGATATCAATCCTAGAAGGACTCTAATTGTTGGAGACTCCTGCCATATTGATATTCTTTTGGGATACAAGTGTGGATATACAACGCTTTTGGTTTTATCAGGAGAAACCACAAAGGAGAATTTAAGTGTGTACAAGAAAAAAATACCTTCCTTTGTACCAGACTACTACTTGGACAAGTTGGGAGATATGATAAAATTACTAAGACCAGGAGAAAAAAAATGATATTTACATTACAAATTGTATTAAATTTTAAAATTTGACATTGATTTATTTACAAAAATAACTGACAGACATTTAAATCGCAATGAATCCAAGTTATAAACACAGTTGTACCCTGTTTAGTTCTCTGAAAGTTGACGATGGTAGAGAATTCTTTGCAAACATTCAAAACGTAGTTTTTACATGCAATGGTGTTTTGTGGTATAGCCTTCTCAAAACTATCGTCGGATCAAGCGAGGTTTACATGAAAATTGAAAAAGTTGGTAAAAACATTCATATTATAACCGATGACACTACAGCATCAAAGGCGAAGTTGATTATGAAGGCCAAAAATTATGGATATGTTCTGAAGCCTGAAAATATAACGATATCGACAAATATTATCACCAGCTATTTAAAGAGTATTAACTTTTCCGGGAAAGTTTATCTGGTGGGTGGTATGGATCTTGCTGAAGAACTTGAAGAAGTCTGTATTGACAGTATAGGTAGTGGTCCTGACCCTTTTAATCCAAAAACAATGGATACAATAGGAATGGATAAGTCTGTTTCAGGTGTGATAGTATCGTATGATGTCCACATATCCTACACCAAACTCATAAGGGCGGTTAATTATTTAGACGACAAAAAGTGTATTTTTATCGGAGCGAGCACCTCCCAGGTCATCCCTTGGGATGGCAATGTTGTTCTTCCCGGTACCGGGTCCACGCTGCGAGCTATTGAAGCAGGATCTAGAAGAAATACGCTTCTAATGGACAAAATGAGCAACTATTTTGTAGATCATTTAAAAAAACGATTAATCCGAAAAAAACGCTTTTAATAGGTTCCACTCTGGACCAAGACATATATTTAGGGAATCGGTGTGGGTTTTATACTATTGCAATACCTACAAATGTCCTACCGGATTGATAATATCGACACGATTTTCCTCGATTGCGATGGTGTTTTCAACATATTGGCGGATATGGGAAAAACTATGTTTTTGATCACGAATAATTCCACGGGGAGAAGATCGACCTTAGCGGAAAAGGCGAGAAAGATGGGATACAAGGTGACGAAAAACGATCAAGTTTTAAATTCGGCATATTTAACTGCCGAATACCTGAATAGTATCTATTTCGCCAAAGTGGTGTATGTAGTTGGTGCAGCCGGTATGAGCGAAGAGTTGGAACGGGTCGATATAGAAAACATCGGTGCTGGATATGACAGCACCCCCGTTGATTTCGATTGTCTTTGGGATAAAATTGATATCAACCCCAACGTTGGAGCTGTAGTCGTAGGCCACGATGTTCATATATCGTATGCAAAAATGGTGAAAGCCGTCACCTATTTAAAGGATAAAAACGTCATCTTCATTGGAACTAATGTGGATGAAAGGATACCATCAGCACCGAATTCGTTGATACTACCCGGAGCTGGGACAATGTTGCGCGCTATAGAAACTGCCTGCAAGCGTGAGGCCATTATGATAGGAAAACCCAGTTCTTACCTGAACAAATATTTAATTCAAAAACACGATATCAATCCTAGAAGGACTCTAATTGTTGGAGACTCCTGCCATATTGATATTCTTTTGGGATACAAGTGTGGATATACCACGCTTTTGGTTTTATCAGGAGAAACCACAAAGGAAAATTTGAGTGTGTACAAGAAAAAAATACCTTCCTTTGTACCAGACTACTACTTGGACAAGTTGGGAGATATGATAAAATTACTAAGACCAGGAGAAAAAAAATGATATTTACATTACAAATTGTATTAAATTTTAAAATTTGACATTGATTTATTTACAAAAATAACTGACAGACATTTAAATCGCAATGAATCCAAGTTATAAACACAGTTGTACCCTGTTTAGTTCTCTGAAAGTTGACGATGGTAGAGGATTCTTTGCAAACATTCAAAACGTAGTTTTTACATGCAATGGTGTTTTGTGGTATAGCTTGCTCAAACCTATCGTTGGATCAAGCGAGGTTTACATGAAAATTGAAAAAGTTGGTAAAAACATTCATATTATAACCGATGACACGATAGCATCAAAGGCGAAGTTGATTATGAAGGCCAAAAAATATGGATATGTTCTGAAGCCTGAAAATATAACGATATCGACAAATATTATCACCAGCTATTTAAAGAGTATTAACTTTTCCGGGAAAGTTTATCTGGTGGGTGGTATGGATTTAGCTGAAGAACTTAAAGAAGTCGGTATTGACAGTATAGGTAGTGGTCCTGACCCTTTTAATCCAAAAACAATGGATACAATAGGAATGGATAAGTCTGTTTCAGGTGTGATAGTATCGTACGATGTCCACATATCCTACACCAAACTCATAAGGGCGGTTAATTATTTAGACGACAAAAAGTGTATTTTCATCGGGGCAAGCACCTCCCAGGTCATTCCTTGGGATGGCAATGTCGTTCTTCCCGGTACCGGGTCCATGCTGCGAGTTATTGAAGCAGGATCTAGAAGAAATACGCTTCTAATGGACAAAATGAGCAACTATTTTGTAGATCATTTAAAAAAAACGTTTAATCCGAAAAAAGCGCTTTTAATAGGTTCCACTCTGGACCAAGACATATATTTAGGGAATCGGTGTGGGTTTTATACTATTGCAATACCTAGAAATGTCCTACCGGATTGATAATATCGATACGATTCTCTTTGATTGCGATGGTGTTTTCAACATATTGGCGGATATGGGAAAAACTATGTTTTTGATCACGAATAATTCCACGGGGAGAAGATCGACCTTAGCGGAAAAGGCGAGAAAGATGGGATACAAGGTGACGAAAAACGATCAAGTTTTAAATTCGGCGTATTTAACTGCCGAATACCTGAATAGTATCTATTTCGCCAAAGTGGTGTATGTAACTATAGTTGGTGCAGCCGGTATGAGCGAAGAGTTGGAACGGGTCGATATAGAAAACATCGGTGCTGGATATGACAGCACCCCCGTTGATTTCGATTGTCTTTGGGATAAAATTGATATAAACCCGAACGTTGGAGCTGTAGTCGTGGGCCACGATGTTCATATATCGTATGCAAAAATGGTGAAAGCCGTCACCTATTTAAAGGATAAAAACGTCATCTTCATTGGAACTAATGTGGATGAAAGGATACCATCAGCACCGAATTCGTTGATACTACCCGGAGCTGGGACAATGCTGCGTGCTATCGAAACTGCCTGCAAGCGTGAGGCCATTATGATAGGAAAACCCAGTTCTTACCTGAACAAATATTTAATTCAAAAACACGATATCAATCCTAGAAGGACTCTAATTGTCGGAGACTCCTGCCATATTGATATTCTTTTGGGATACAAGTGTGGATATACAACGCTTTTGGTTTTATCAGGAGAAACCACAAAGGAACATTTGAGTGTGTACAAGAAAAAAATGCCTTCCTTTGTACCAGACTACTACTTGGACAAGTTGGGAGATATGATAAAATTACTAAGACCAGGAGAAAAAAAATGATATTAACATTACAAAAAGTATTAAATTTTAAAATTTGACATTGATTTATTTACAAAAATAACAGACATTTAACTCACAATGAATCCAAGTTATAAACACAGTTGTACCCTGTTTAGTTCTCTGAAAGTTGACGAAGGTAAAGAATTCTTTGCAAACATTCAAAACGTAGTTTTTACATGCAATGGTGTTTTGTGATCCAGCCTTCTCAAACCTATCGTCGGATCAAGCGAGGTTTACATGAAAATTGAAAAAGTTGGTAAAAACATTCATATTATAACCGATGACACTATAGTATCAAAGGCGAAGTTGATTATGAAGGCCAAAAATTATGGATATGTTCTGAAGCCTGAAAATATAACGATATCGACAAATATTATCACCAGCTATTTAAAGAGTATTAACTTTTCCGGGAAAGTTTATCTGGTGGGTGGGATGGATTTAGCTGAAGAACTTAAAGAAGTCGGTATTGACAGTATAGGTAGTGGTCCTGACCCTTTTAATCCAAAAACAATGGATACAATAGGAATGGATAAGTCTGTTTCAGGTGTGATAGTATCGTATGATGTCCACATATCCTACACCAAACTCATAAGGGCGGTTAATTATTTAGACGACAAAAAGTGTATTTTTATCGGAGCGAGCACCTCCCAGGTCATCCCTTGGGATGGCAATGTTGTTCTTCCCGGTACCGGGTCCACGCTGCGAGCTATTGAAGCAGGATCCAGAAGGAATGCGGTTCTAATGGACAAAACGAGCAACTATTTTGTGGATCATTTTAAAAAACGTTTAATCAAAAAAAAAACGCTTTTAATAGGTTCCACTCTGGACCAAGACATATATTTAGGGAATCGGTGTGGGTTTTATACTATTGCAATACCTAGAAATGTCCTACCGGATTGATAATATCGATACGATTCTCTTTGATTGCGATGGTGTTTTCAACATATTGGCGGATATGGGAAAAACTATGTTTTTGATCACGAATAATTCCACGAGGAGACGATCGACTTTAGCGGAAAAGGCGAGAAAGATGGGATACAAGGTGACGAAAAATGATCAAGTTTTAAATTCGGCATATTTAACTGCCGAATACCTGAATAGTATCTATTTCGCCAAAGTGGTGTATGTAGTTGGTGCAGCTGGTATGAGCGAAGAGTTGGAACGGGTCGATATAGAAAACATCGGTGCTGGATATGACAGCACCCCCGTTGATTTCGATTGTCTTTGGGATAAAATTGATATCAACCCCAACGTTGGAGCTGTAGTCGTGGGCCACGATGTTCATATATCGTATGCAAAAATGGTAAAAGCCGTCACCTATTTAAAGGATAAAAACGTCATCTTAATTGGAACTAACGTGGATGAAAGGATACCATCAGCACCAAATTCTTTGATATTACCTGGAGCTGGGACAATGCTGCGTGCTATCGAAACTGCCTGCAAGCGTGAGGCCATTATGATAGGAAAACCCAGTTCTTACCTGAACAAATATTTAATTCAAAAACACGATATCAATCCTAGAAGGACTCTAATTGTTGGAGACTCCTGCCATATTGATATTCTTTTGGGATACAAGTGTGGATATACAACGCTTTTGGTTTTATCAGGAGAAACCACAAAGGAGAATTTGAGTGTGTACAAGAAAAAAATACCTTCCTTTGTACCAGATTACTACTTGGACAAGTTGGGAGATATGATAAAATTACTAAGACCAGGAGAAAAAAAATGATATTAAAATTAAAAAATGTATTAAATTTTAAAATTTGACATTGATTTATTTACAAAAATAACTGACAGACATTTAAATCACAATGAATCCAAGTTATAAACACAGTTGTACCCTGTTTAGTTCTCTGAAAGTTGACGATGGTAAATAATTCTTTGCAAACATTCAAAACGTAGTTTTTACATGCAATGGTGTTTTGTGGTATAGCTTGCTCAAACCTATCGTTGGATCAAGCGAGGTTTACATGAAAATTGAAAAAGTTGGTAAAAACATTCATATTATAACCGATGACACTATAGCATCAAAGGCGAAGTTGATTATGAAGGCCAAAAATTATGGATATGTTCTGAAGCCTGAAAATATAACGATATCGACAAATATTATCACCAGCTATTTAAAGAGTATTAACTTTTCCGGGAAAGTTTATCTGGTGGGTGGTATGGATCTTGCTGAAGAACTTAAAGAAGTCGGTATTGACAGTATAGGTAGTGGTCTCGACCCTTTTAATCCAAAAACAATGGATACAATAGGAATGGATAAGTCTGTTTCAGGTGTGATAGTATCGAATGATGTCTACATATCCTATAACCCAGTTCTTACCTGAACAAATTTTTAATTCAAAAACATGATATCAATCCTAGAAGGACTCTAATTGTTGGAGACTCCTGCCATATTGATATTCTTTTGGGATACAAGTGTGGATATACAACGCTTTTGGTTTTATCAGGAGAAACCACAAAGGAACATTTGAGTGTGTACAAGAAAAAAATACTTTCCTTTGTACCAGACTACTACTTGGACAAGTTGGGATATATGATAAAATTACTAAGACCAGGAGAAAAAAAATGATATTAACATTACAAAATGTATTAAATTTTAAAATTTGACATTGATTTATTTACAAAAATACCTGACAGACATTTAAATCACAATGAATCCAAGTTATAAACACAGTTGTACCCTGTTTAGTTCTCTGAAAGTTGACGATGGTAAAGAATTCTTTGCAAATATTAAAAACGTAGTTTTTACATGCAATGGTGTTTTGTGGTATAGCTTGCTCAAACCTATCGTCGGATCAAGCGAGGTTTACATGAAAATTGAAAAAGTTGGTAAAAACATTCATATTATAACCGATGACACTATAGCATCAAAGGCGAAGTTGATTATGAAGGCCAAAAAATATGGATATGTTCTGAAGCCCGAAAATATAACGATATCGACAAATATTATCACCAGCTATTTAAAGAGTATTAACTTTTCCGGGAAAGTTTATCTGGTGGGTGGTATGGATTTAGCTGAAGAACTTAAAGAAGTCGGTATTGACAGTATAGGTAGTGGTCCTGACCCTTTTAATCCAAAAACGATGGATACAATAGGAATGGATAAGTCTGTTTCAGGTGTGATAGTATCGTATGATGTCCACATATCCTACACCAAACTCATAAGGGCGGTTAATTATTTAGACGACAAAAAGTGTATTTTCATCGGGGCAAGCACCTCCCAGGTCATTCCTTGGGATGGCAATGTCGTTCTTCCCGGTACCGGGTCCATGCTGCGAGCTATTGAGGCAGGATCCAGAAGGAATGCGGTTCTAATGGACAAAACGAGCAACTATTTTGTGGATCATTTGAAAAAAACGTTTGATCCGAAAAAAACGCTTTTAATAGGCTCGACTCTGGACCAAGACATATACTTAGGGAATCGGTGTGGGTTTTACACTATTGCAATACTAAGAAATGTGCTACCGGAGGATTTACATTTGATCGAAAATGGGGAGAAGATCTTCGTGCCGGATTTTTACATAAAAGATATTACTGAATTGTTAAAATACATTAATAAATAAAGTTTTAAATAGCTCACCGCAATTAAATGATCTGCCAATCCAGCTGCCGTCCTCACAAATGATTTTCCACGTAGTTCTCTCGCCCATTATGCTCTCGATGCAGTTGAATGTAACTTCAGTTCCGTCTGGAAAATTGTGTTCGTCGTCGACGAGCGGTTCGCCGTTCTTATACACTAGGGACCCGCGGACCCTGGTAGAGAATAAACATGAAAAAACATGTCAAAGAGAATTTTAAAGTGGTTTAGCATCGAAATGAGGTTTTATTGTGAGTTCAATACAGCAATCAATCTATGCTATTAAGGTTTTACTTGTTTATTTTTAGTTTCTACATTGAAAGAGTGTTTCTCATAAAAATGTACTAGAATATGCCGAAATAATTTTTAATTTATATTTCAAAAGGTTCCTAGTCTTCATATTTAGGAAAACTCTTAATACAGTTACCGGCAAAAGTATGGAAAAAAAGTCATTGAAAAATTCGCCTTTTTTTCTCAAATAAATTCTTGAAACTTTCTCAAAATATTTCATTTTAAGGTAAAACTTTTTCATTTTATTGTTTTTTGTTATTATACAAATAGCAAGTGTGGATATATGGACGTTTTTTATTTTATATTTCTATGTTACCATATAATTGACACTAAAATTGATGTTATTGTTACGTGTGGAAGAAGATCCTCACAGTGCTTCTAGCCTAGTCGCAGCTGAAAGTCAAGTCACCCAACGGTCAGCATTACATATGTCTTATGAAAAAAGAAAAGTACCATCCATACAAAATTAGACTAGTACAGGAACTTAACGAAGATGATCCGGACCGTAGACTAAAATTTTGTGAAACTATGATGAAATTTTTTTTATAGATTTTGAAAATAGACTTAAAAAGTGATACCCGTGTCTCGTTCCAATAAAATGTTATCCACGGTATTCGGCACATAATATATTCGATAACAGCTAGACAGTATATTTTTATGAAAAATTTATTCACCGAATAAATGGACAACCATTGAGATTATTTATTTATTTTAAAATTATTTTAATTATATACAGGGTGGTGCACATTTACTAAATACGGGTGTATCACTTTCGTGGTCCATTGAGAGTTTCTGAGGAACGATTTGAAATTTTTAAAGTTTATAATCCAATTAAGCCTATTTTTATAAAATATTTTAAACAAAATGCCACTTCCAGTCAATCATGTCCTATACCTAGAGTAAATAGTTTTGGAGTTATTAATTTTATCCGTTAAAATATGACAAATGCGCGCCAATAAAAAATAGCCTATAACTTTCTTGCTATTAGGTTTGCAGAATTTGGGGTGGAATTTTTGGAATCTTAAAACATTGTTTAAAAGATTCCATATCAATTTCTTAACATACCGGGTGTTACATTTAAAATAAAAAAGTTATTAACGTTTCAAGTTAGCCCTATTTGCCCTGGGGTTTCTCGGGTGATTTGTTGAAAAATGTTAAAGAATTGACATGGAATTTTTTAAACAATGTTTTAAGATTCCAAACATTTTACCCTCATATCCGTAAACCTAATAGCAAACATCTAGAAAACTATTCACTTTAGACCTAAAGTCATTCTCACGAAAATGTTCAATTTACTGTCCCTTATTAATAATTTACATACTTACGGCACAATATATATTTTTTTTGTAGTAAAATTAAAGAATATTTCTGCCTTAACGCTAGTCCACATGCATTTTGACAAATATTATTAAAATCTTATAAAAATTTTAGTTAACAGTACGTGAGATCTCACGTTTGTTAGTTGTCCCCCGCCAGAGACACTATATTTCAATTTCAATTTTCTTATTTATAAAATTAAAGTTTTAACTACAAAAATAATAAACAGCACGAAAATACCACAAGTTTTTTCATCTTATTAAAAAATATTAGTAAATGTTTTTTATATCCCCACAAATAATTGTTCTATAAGTGTCCCTGGATGACTTTCTCACCTCCGTTAATATAGACATAAATTGTAATAAAATATCATAGATGGCTCTTACGTTGCCAGGTATTTGTTAACCTAAAAAAATAGTTATTTTTAGTTTGATTCTTGGTGCGTGACATATTATTTTTAGGTTTTTTGGAATATTTTCGAGAATATCAAGTATTAAGTGTTCTAACGTGGAGCATAATTCTCACTGCTGTTAGTGGTTATCAAAAGGTAAGCAATTAGATATTAATAAATATAATTATATATTTAAATAATAAGAATAGGCAAGAGTTTATATTGTCTGGGACCGGGGTCTTTATAACCAGTAGACAGGTCAATAGCGGGAAATTTGAATAAAAATCTCACACCCGTTAATCTCACTGCTGTTAACAGCTTTTATAACGAAGGTGAGACATGTTTACGTAAGTGAGGTTTTATAGTACCTATTCTGGTATATTTGTATAATGAGGAGTTCGATAACGTTTTCTGTTAAATTAATCTGAAATTTTCAGTTCCTAACACCTGAAAAATAATCAGCAGTCAACAAAGTCCTGATGAGGTCTTCATTATTGAGATGTATAAGTACTCTGACGGTTTACCTTTATCTTCATGGGTTAGCAATCAGTGACAAGGAAAACCGATCGATGATTTTGTGGTAGTTAAACTGTGCAGTAAAATAGTATATTAAAGAACTAATTTTCTTAATTCAGTTCTCCGTTAATATCAAATTTAAGTTTTTACAGATATTTTCTTAGATTTTTTTTCAAGCTTAGAGTATTCGGGTAACTGATACATATATGCAATAATATACATACATATCTAATTATTTAGGTTAAATCTATTTTTTTTTTCAAAATTAGTGATGCCGCCGATACGAGAGATTCTCGCCTCTCGTCTCGTCTCGTCTCGTCTCGACGAGACGAGAGGGCGATTTTCTCTCGAAAAAAGGCTCGAGACGAGACGAGAGAATGCCCTCTCTCGCTCGAGAATTTCTCGTTTCTCTCGATCTCTCTCGTTCTCTCGATTATTCCGGTAATAAGTAAACAATTTTTTTTACATAAAAATTATAATTTTGCACATAAATGACGATATTTATTTGGACCAATGAGAACATTATTCGCATTTCATAATAAACAAAATTTGTTCCTGGTTAACGTTGTATTATTTTATAACACAACTTAACGTTAACCAAGAAAAAATTACTTATAAAATAATAATAATTTTTAAAATTTACCCTGTATAAGCACATCTATGGCAATCTTTATACTATTAAAAAAAACCCTATGCTTAATAAGCATTGCTTATTCAATAAACTTATCCATTTTTTTAAAAATAAAATGGCTGATCCAATATGACGAAAATTCGTCGTTCGGCTTTAATAGTTTAGGTAAAATTTAGTATTCAGATATTTATGGGGTCCCTGATTCAGAATTTGATATCCATTAAAAAAAAACAAAATTGCGGATTCAAAATGACGGACATGCGCAGTAGGTACAAGATGGTTGGATCTATGTGGAGTAGTTACATCATATATGCGCAGTAGTTTTCAGATGGATGGATCAAATGATAATGTGACCAAAGGGGACATTATTTGGTGCTACCTCTAGCCACCCCCTACCCCTCCTTAAGGGTGAAACGGGGGGTAACTTTGGAGAGTCAAATGGGATTACCCTTTTTTTACAGATTTTGGTAGTACATAAAAAAATGAATAACTTATTTGAAACTTTTTTCAATTTATCAACAGATGGCGCTGTAATTCAAAATTTAAGAAAAATGGGTTTCCTTGTAAAATGTATTATTTGAAAAGTTTGAAAAACAAAAATGAACATTCGATCAACAATAGTCGGCTCTGAAAACAATTTATAACAAATGTTCGAAATGTCGTCCTTCCATTTCGACACCAAGTGGAGCACCAGCGTCCCTGGTCCGTAAACGTTTGGTGCGGTACCTTTGGCGAACGGCATTAAATGGTGAAAAGTCCCGGAACTTTCTAGAAAACGATCTGCCAGACTTCTTCCTGTTACTTGAAAGAAAAAGTTTACGCTGCAATTCCTACAACTCGGGAGGACATGGTGGAGCCAGAATTCATTACCCGCATTCAAAAATGTGTCGAAATGAAAAGATGACATTTTGAACATTTGTTATAAATTGTTTTCAGAACCGACTATTGTTGATTTAATGTTAATTTTTGTTTTTCAAACGTTTCAAATAATACATTTTACAAGGAAATCCAATTTTCTTAAATTTTTAATTACAGCGCCATCTGTTGATAAATTGAAAAAAAGTTTCAAATAAAAGTTTTTAATTTTTTTATGTACTACCAAAATCTGTGAAAAAAATCGGGTCATTCCTTTTGACTTTCTAAATTTACCCCCCGTTTCTCCCTTAAGGAGGGGTAGGGGGTGGCTAGCAGTAGCACCAAATAATGTCCCCTTTGGTCAAATTAACCTTTTGTTTAAGACATTTTTCTGTGAAATGCGTATTTCACGAGATATTGAGCTGTCTCAAGTTAAAAGAAAAGTCTTACTTTATTAGTGTGGTCTTGGCACACATTTTTTTTTATTTCCAGTTTAAGTTTCTATATAAAAAAATATACACGAATTCGTATTTCATTCCAAATAATTTTTGTATTCATACTTAGGTACTTTTACCACGAGAGAAACGAGACGAGACGAGAGAAAGGCACTCTCGAGCGAGAAAAGAGTATTCTCGACGAGACGAGAGACCCATTTTCTCTCGCTGCACGAGACGAGACGAGAGAAGGACTTTTCTCGTCTCGTCTCGTCTCGCGGCATCACTATTCAAAATTGATACCGGGAAAATCCACAAGTTCATGATAATGACATGGTAAAAATATATGGGGTGTTCTATTTGAAAGAACAAAGTTGATGTCACTTCTGGCCAAACCGGAAGTTGCATTTTGTTCAAAATATTTAAAAAAAATAGACTTAATGGATTATAAACGCTTTTAAATTTCAAATCTATATTTTTTCCGTTCTCCAGAAACTTCCAATGGACCACGAATGTGAAACACCCTGTATATCAAGTGGTGTTTTTAGGTTGTGATACCACTATAGATTCGAAAGCAATGTATAATCGTCAAACTAAAAGATCAAGATTTCTTGTTTAGCAGTTACTGCCTTTCTCCATAGTAGGGCAGTATACATGTGTCATCAAAATCAAAATGAGCAAAATTCTTTTGGGGGAAAAAGGCACATTTTTTAATGAATTTTTTTAATACTTTTGCGGGTCACCGTATATCAGGTCATCAAAACATAGCTTACTTTGCTGGAGGTCCACAATATTTCCCCGATAAAGTTCCATAATCCACCACCGTGATGTCTCCCCCTCTCACAATATCGCTGCCGCTGAAATACTCGGGCACTTTGACGACCTTGTTCTCCAAAATGCCGACGCTTCCCGGTTCGGGGGTGCACACAGGCGTCGAGGGGTACAACTGACCCAAAGTGCATTGCACGGTTTGAGCTGCCGAAGTGGTGTAGTCGGTGTCGCACTGAAACGTCACGCTGGACCCGTTCGCTATGGTTAATCCCGCCCGATATCCCGACAGGTATTGACCGTTGATGATTTTTGGGAGCTGGCATGGAGCTGCAAGATTTTGGTTTGGTGGGTTTTGTATCAAGAAAATTATTAGCAAACCTTGTAACTCTAATTTTTTTGCTGAGTCGATTATTTACCTAAAGGAACCAAGTATGGATAAAAAGGATGATAAAAACGTTTTTAAACAATGTTTTGATTAATGAATGTTTCTTTCCCACAATAATGAATAAAATATACTAAATATTCTAAAGATTATGCCATCAGTATATGGGTGACTCTACAAAAGTTGGACAACTTTTGACCGTTCCAGACCGGGCCAGTCACTTTTTCAAACAGTGTCTGAAATATCTGTGTTTTCTAAATTTGAATGCAAGGGAAGTGACGAGTATACAAGGGTACTAATTAAATACATAATTTATTGGAAAATATAAGATTAATTGCAACTTCGAGCATATTATACATTAAATATCTTAAAATCAAATAATAGCACACATCAGTGGCGGCTGGTGGATTTTGGGTATACCGATATCTCAATTATTAGATATAGGACGCACACCAAATTTATATGAGTTTATAATGACATTAAATAAACAAGTTCTGCGCAAGCAGAATTTAAATTAAAGTTTGCGAAAAAAACTGACGACAAGGTACTGATGAATGGGATACAAATTTGAGATTATAATTCGGAATGAAGTATTTTACTGATATTTTTTATTAGTGGATGCTACTTATCAACAAATCACATATAGCCTTATATAAATTACAATAAAATATATATTCGTAAGAAAATAACTACTCACCACAGTACTGACATTTTGACTGGAACTATACGTGCATTCACCACAACTTCGCCGCTTGCATTGTTTTCAAGATGACTGTGCAAAGGGCGGGCTCTGTATGTAATTTATTACCAACACTTGAGTTAAAACGAGGACTTGACGTTTAAACTTTAATATTACGCAGGAATTTTGAATTTTAACATTGGACACAGAACTGACCGGTAAAAGTGAGTACCAAGATTATCAATTTTTTAAAAATTGCTATTATTCGAATCTATGATAAAATATGAAAAATAGATTATTTAATGTTTTATAGTTTGTAGTGAAATTGAAAAATTTAAGATAAATTGAATATATTTTAAAATAAAATCACTCAAATATTTGATTCAGGAGTTGTGACACGCCAAGGTACTGATGTTTTGAATATTTATTATGTTTTTCTACAAACGTGCTTTTAAAAAAATTCATTAAAATTGGGTGGACAAGTTAAAAAAACCTGGATCTTTTGTAATTTATTAAAATATTTACAAAAAATATTAAAATACCTTCTCTATTGACTAATGACATCAAGTTGTCCAACTTTTGTAGAATCACCCATATATATATATATATATACACACAACCAATCTTATATTACCTACCCAGTAATAACAAGAAACAGTATTTACTAAAAAAATTAATTGTATTACAAAAAAAAAAACATATTAGAACAAATTTTGTATTGAACAAAAATCAAAAAATGTGAATTTCTCTGAGAATAAACTTTACGGTAAATTAGAATTTAAGAAGAAATAATAATAGGTTTTTGTTAATTAAACCTCCAGCATCAATACAAGCCTTTTAAAACTGCATTTATTAGTTTCTCTGTATTGCCAGGGCCATTTTGACGAGCTTTAAACCTTCTTTTAATAAATAATAATAAATATCCTTATTGTATATAAATAACATTACATTACATACAAAAGGTGAAAGTTCAGTTAAACTGAAATGGAACTCCAACTCCACTCCAACCAGACTCACAATACATGCTATGTTAACAAACTTTGCTCTTGTAACAATTGACTTCTAAGTTTAGGTTTTAATACATTCATTAAACAGGTTTATACAATCGTTAAAAATTGTTGTAGCCAAATACTCAAAAACTACTTTCAAATTTGCTAGTTTTCTGATTGAGAAATGTTAAAAAACTATTATTGACATGACGTGACACTGATTTCGACGTACCTACTAATAAATTTAATAAATATGATGGTAGTTAAGCTTTAATTGTAACAGCATATTGACAAAAAAAAATTTTACTTCCACCTTTAAAACGCCCTCTATCGTACATGTTTCCATGACACTAAGTGACCTTTTAAATACAAATTGACAAGTTGTGGCTTTATGGCGCTTTAGCCACGGGCTAAAGTTAGCAACAGGTTTTTAGTCACGGGCTAAAGTTAGTTTTAAGTTTGTTGACAGTTATCAAATGTCATACAATCGTTAAAATAAAGTGCCTTTCTTGTAAAATAATACTAAATGTGAAAATTATTTTATTATCTCAATACAAAAATACAAGTATTAAATAGTTTCTCAACGCCAATATTTGAAAAGTTTTTATGAACATTGTACTGACCTTTTAATTTTGCCGGCAGTAAACTATAACTTAAATTCGGGCACGGACTCTACTGTAAAATCCTCATAAAACATTTCCTTTACTTTCACTGTAAAAAACTGTCAATTTTCAAGAAATACATTTTGATTTATAACCTTTATAATCTGTGTTTATAAAATAAAAAAAATGACATTTGACGGTGACACACAGATTCCCCTATTGTTTCATAGATGGCGCTCTATACAAATTTTTGATTTAAATCATTATAAGATAATAATAAGTATTTAGGCATTCGCTCGCAATGGAAAGTGTGACTGTTTTAGAGTGGCCTTCTTGTTCACCGGATCTTAATCCAATTGAGAACTTAAGGGATAAGTTTTAAAAACAAGGATAAGATCCCGTTAAAACAACCCGTAACGCAGAGCAACTAGTAGAAGTGGTTTTAGAGGGGTGGGAAAAAGTTCAACAAGAAGAAATAAATAATAAAAAACGCCTCGTCGAATTTATGCTTGCATTGAGACTAGAAGTGAAAACACTGATTATTAAAATAACAAAAACCTATTATTTCATCCTAAAATCTAATTTATTGTAAAGTTTATTATCGTAAGTAATATCATAAGGGCATTTAATTTTTCCGAAAAAAATCGAAAAAACACGTTGCTAAGTAATATTTTAACAAAAAGCATGAGTGCTGGTGGCAACAAAAATCCGAGTCGAAGAGGAGGATTTTTGCATCCGCACGAATGCATTTTGTTAAAAAATATTACTTAGCATTGGGTTTTTTCGATTTTTTTCACAGGAAAAATTAGATGCCCGAATGGTATTTGACAAGACTATTTCATGAGTAACAGTAAACAATTAAAATATAAATTGCAATTTTTGTTGACAACAGCTGTCAAGTTTTGCCGCGGGTAAACTTGAAAAAACTGCTGACAGGTGCTGTCACACAGTTTTTTCACCTAGAAACCATTTGTAATTCAAAATTGCGCGTTTGTGATTAGTGGAAATTAAGACGAGGGATATAGTCAGATAAATTCACATTTTTTTTGTAATTTGTTCCCTACCAAATTTGTTTTAAAAAAATTTTCTGTGTAGTTATTCATTTTATCATGTTATCCTCAAATATGTGTTTTATAGAGTAATTAAAACTGTTTAAATGATAGTTCAAAGCAAACATTAATTTTAGAGTTACGAAGTTTGTGAATTAGTAGATCAAACATGATAACGACCGAATGATCATGAAGCTGAAGCTGAAATGAAAATTTTATGAGATTTACGGTTTTGATTGTTGATTCGTTTATCGCAGGCTTTTTAATCACCTATAAAATACTTTTAATCACGTTGACATCGAGGATCAAAAAATAAATCAATGTAATTAAAACGGGGCTTCCATTTGTACTTTAAAATTTGTCGCGTAGTCCAGCTATAACGATAAATTCCCATTTGAATTTGAAAATGAATTTTATTGTTTGCTACAAACCTACACTCACAGGCAAAATAATCGATCCACACAAATTTTCGATGAATTTCAATCGTAAATAACTTGTTTATTTGATGTCGGATTTAAACGAATATTAAAGAATATTGGACAATCGCTCACATTTTAAAAAATTACTAAAAAATAGAAGTACGTTTATAATATGCAGGTTTAAACAAAAAGATGTTTTTTACCATAAGTTTAAGACACTCTGTAGAGTGGCAAAACCGTATATTGTTCTATTTTATTTATCAAGTCACATCTATTCTTAACAGTTTTGATTTTGGTTCACCTCGATATATTTATTTTTGTGAAAAATATGGAATATGGATAGGCTATGGATGGACCATAGCAACCTTAGTTCTTCATACAGGAAAAATATTGGAAATTGCAATGTTTTTTTTTAAATCCATATTTTCCACAAATTAAATATATCAAGGTGAACCAAACACAAAACTGTAAAAAATATATGTGACTTAATAATTAAAACTAAATTTAGAACATTGTTTAAACCTGTATATTATAAACGTACGTGTATTTTTTAGTAATTTTTAAAATGTGAGCGATTCTCCATTAATGTATCTACAATATTCTTTAATATTTGTTTAAATCCGAAAACAAATAAAAAAGTTATTTGCGATTGAAATTCATCGAAAATTTGTGTGGATCGATTATTTTGCCTGTGAGTGTATATCACTCACGAGTAATAAAACCTCGCAGACAGTTTGATAGGTACACAAATCAGTATGACATGTAAATAAAAATTTATATAATACCCTAATTAATGGGGACGATAATGTGACCTAGAAATCAATCGATTTGTACTTGGGTTAAATGGGGATGAAAGCTATGATCTATGTGCTGTGAAAGCAATAATGACTTGCTGGTTGAACCAATACAATGAACATTCTGATTAGGTGATATCTAGATAAATACTTAATTTTAACGCCTGCATTAATAAGCTTCAAGTCCTTAAAACAGCTTTCAGGCACATTATGATGCCTTTCAACAATTATTTTTTGTATTAAAGAAGATTTTAAGGCGATAAGCACGAACGACTTTATAATGGTTTTAAAGTGACAAAATATAAAACAAGCTTTGAAGGGCGAAGGTATAAAACAAAAACTGTCTTGAATTTAGTGTGTTAAAATGTTTTGATGTTATTTAAGTGGTTCCAAGTAAAAAAGTGGTTTAATCACTTTTTTGATGACAATAGACTTTTATTTTGTAAAATATTAACATAATTTTTTGTAGAAAACCAGGGTTTGTAATTATTTTAACAAAGGAAAATATTTTACCGAAAGTTTTGTAAAGGTAATCTGCAATTGAGTGTTTATAATATATTACCAGAAACCTGTTATTATTGTTATTCGGATTCCTTATACCTATTTAACGAGTGTGCGAAGTGCGAAGTATCCGAAAAAAGATGCCATCACAGGTTTTCAAACTCAAATTAGGGATACAGTAAAGTGGGTTAAAGTAACGAAATACAAGAACTGATAATTAAATTGTTCCAAATTTCTTTATAATTTGATGATTTCAGAATGATGTGTTATTTAATTGTGTGTATGTTATTTTTGTGTTTATTTATGTAGGTACTATGCTCGACACCTCAAAGTCCCACCACGTGACTACGTATCGAACGCAGTATTTTGAAAATAAGACCTTTAAGGCTTTTCAGGTTATGTATCTGTCAAGGTATAGTCAACGGAAGAAATAATTGGTATTTATACTTTTACCACTTATGTTTAAAAATGTATAGATCTTTATAGTACTATCACAAATGGTTGGATTCAGAATTTAGGAATATAAATTCTAAAGTGTATGGTGCCAAATAAGTAATATTTTTGAGCATTTGTCTACATATCTTGTGATCTATAAATTTTTAAACATAAGCGGTAAGACTATAAATATTATTTCTTTCATTGACTATACTTTGACAGATACATAACCTGAAAAGCCTTAAATGCCAAATTTTCAAAAGACTGCGTTTCGTACGTAGTCACGTGGTGGGACTTTGAGGTGTGGAGCATAGTACGTGTTAATTTTTTTGTTTAGGAAATTGATTACTTAATAAACATTTCTTATCAAAATTCTTTTTATTGAAGTTCCCAATTTCCAATAAATTCTTTTGTTACTGGGTCCACAAAAAGTTCCTTTTTGAAAATAACAAGAATTTTTGACAAGATTTTGTTAATAAATCTACAAAATGTTTGTTATAATTACAAACTACTTATTCAATAAGTTACAGATTTCAGTTGGTTGTAAACTTAACATAAGTTATGTGGACTTGGATTAACATAAAATTTGGTTAATATTTGGTTAAAATTAAGAAATATTTTTGTACTGTGTATTTTCCGAAAATGTAAAAAAAATAATTTTTGTCGATTTTCTTGTGTAAAACCACTATTTTACTTGGAAGAGACATATTATTACGTTAGAACAAAAACTAATTTTATCTAGATATCAGTGCGATGCGATGACTGATCATGATTAGTACGTTTGGACAGCCTAGGCTTTCGTGTTACCTGGCGTGCACTCTGGCATACTAGTGACCGTCCAGTCACCATGCCAACAACGCAAATTGGACGGACCCTGCACCGTATAGCCTTCCTCGCAACTAAACTCGACCACTTGCCCGTTCTCGATACTGATCGTCTCGTTCAGAGGAACGTCCGGATCAAGAGTGGAGTTTTCCGGCAAGTTGCTTTTCGATAGCATATAAATGCCGTTCTCTGTTATCGGAGCGAAACAAGGTACTAAAACAAACAACCAAACCATCAACTTTGATTTACAACCGACCTGGATGTTGTTTGATATCAGGCAATTTGTTCGAAAATATTCCTCCAAAACAACGTTTTAAAAATACACTCACGTGCAAAATAATCGATCCACACAAATTTTCGATGAATTTCAATCGCAAATAACTTTTTTATTTGATGTCGGATTTAAACGAATATTAAATAATATTGTAGATAAATTAATGGACAATCGCTCACATTTTAAAAAAATACTAAAAAATAGACGTACGTTTATAATATACAGGTTTAAACAAAAATATGTTTTTTACCATAAGTTTAAGACACTCTGTAGAGTGGCAAAACCGTATATTGTTCTAAATTAAGTTTTATTTATCAAGTCACATCTATTCTTAACAGTTTTGTTTTTGGTTCACCTCGATATATTTATTTTTGTGGAAAATATGGATTTTTTTAAAAAACATTGCAATTTTCAATATTTTTCTGTATGAAGAACTAAGGTTGCTATGGTCCATCCATAGGCTATGGAGAATGACAGTGACAGTTTTGTTGAATCATCCCATACTTGGACACGGCTTTCCAAAGGTATCAAATTGTTTTTTGCAAATTAATGTTTAAATTTTGAGGTGTCTTCTTACTTTATAAAATGGATGTGTCTCCGACTGATGTTGCCAGAGCCATTAATTTAATCCAGGATGGACGGTCACAGTATTACGTGGCAAGTGTTTTAAACGTCACAAGAAGTAAAGTACAAAGGGCAACATCAGTCGGAGACATTTTTAAAAGTAAGACACCTCAAAATTAATACATTAATTTACAAAAAACAATTTGATAGCTTTTGAAAGCTGTATATGACATGTCCAAGTATGGGATGATTCAACAAAACTGTCACTGTCATCCTCCGTAGGCTATGGATGGACCATAGCAACCTTAGTTCTTCATACAGGAAAAATATTGGAAATTGCAATGTTCTTTTAAAAAATCCATATTTTCCACAAAAATAAATATAATAAGGTGAACCAAAAACAAAACTGTTTAAAATTAAAACTTAATTGATTGAAATTCATCGAAAATTTGTGTGGATCACTTATTTTGCCTGTGAGTGTATCATAGTGTTATGAATATTTGTTTAAAATATCACCAAAGTTGCTCAAATTGACTGCATTAAAAGGATACTCACATATTAGACAGACGGGCTTCACCGGCTTCCACTTTCCCCTCATGCACTTGGCAGTCTTATTCTCCGGCATATTCAATCCGTATCCGACGCCGCACGCCATCTTAACCACCGTACCGGAACTAAAAGACGCGTTGGGATCTTTGCCGTGCTTCACGATCTCCACGTTGACGAAGGGCTCGCTGGACAGCGCGTCGCACGGGCCTTTGTTCTTGTGCTTGGGAGGCGGCTTGGAGATGGCGTACTCCTCCTCCTCCTCGTCGATGTTGTTCTTGTTCTTCTTGTTGCCTCTCCGCAGGTTCAAGGAGTTGCTCGAGCTCTTGTGCGCGTTCCCGAAGGTTCTGCTGCTGCTTCCACCCTTCAGAGCGCGCTTGTATCGCTCTATGGCTTCTGATAGACGTTTCGATAAGGTTTTTATGGAGGTGCGTTTTTTGAGTTTTTTCACGTCGAAGAGTTCTTCCAGTTCGTGAAGGTAGTTGTGGACGTTTCGTTTTTCCCGGTTGTGGTAGTGGAGTTTGTGGTGGCGTATAAATGCTCGTTTATATTTTTCCACCACTATGGATCTTCGCCTTCTATTCCAACGTAATCTGGGATGTTGGCCCAGTAAACACCTTTAAAGTAACATTGTTATAGGGTTGCCACTGAAAGGTTGCATTGTAAGGGTATAACCCCCCAGCAAAGAATCTGTAAAGGTTACTCCCCGAGTCATAAAATAAAATATAACACCACGGCAAGAGTTATATTAAATTACGACAAATAAATAAAATAAATACTTACGACAATAAAGCTCATTAATTTAGTGACACAAGGTACTTTGTAGGTGTTGTATTCATGGGAAAAGTATTAAAAACGAAATAATAAATACAGTAAATAAAAGACAATAAATCACGTTTGAACTCTCATAAAAGCTTAAATTAATAAACACTAAAAATGTATAACAAACAATAATGTAATTTATCGGATAAAGCAACAACAGTAACCATAACCCAAACGACATTTAACTTATTTTCTGAAAGAGAACTCTGAAAGAAAGGGACATCCTACAAACCCTTACAAGAATCTCCATACTGCGACCACAACCCACATATAATATAAATAAATAAATAAATGAATAAAAAATACATCATAACCATAAGATCAGGTAGTTCAGTCTCGTCAAGTATCTTTCTCTGAATTAAAAGTAGGTTAAGGCTTAGTCTCTATTTTTGTATTTTAAAGTTTTTATAATTATTAAAAGTTTACTGTTACATGATTTTCCATGTATAATTTATTAGAGTTCAGACTTAATCGACTGTTAGAATAAGGAGTAAGGCTTCAAGATCATTCCAATTGAGGGTCCGCAATTGCCTACTATGTCTCAATTATCTGCAAACTTTAATAAATTAATATTTACCATAAAATAATAGGTACAAATTTGACCAAATAACAAAGACAATGACTGCGTTGCGCATTCAGATGAATCCAGACCTCTAAGTACCTCCTAAAATTTACAGGATAGTAATTCAAAATAGTAATTTCTTGTGTCAGGAGACCGCGGCCAGCGGTAATAAATTAAATGTCGCCATCGCACAATCGCTGTTGCTACTCACTCCAAATGTAATATCAAATAATTAAATATGACTGATAAAAAATCTCTTAAATAATTACGGGAAATAAATGTGAATCTGTGAGTAAAGTTTAATAGATTCTATATTCAAGAAAAACGATAACAAGTTCATTTAATTTTACGCATCGTTTAAAGAAAATTTCCTTTAATAATTATTTATTAAAGTAATTACATAAAATCAAGTACAACCCTGACATTTAGTAACTTTTTGATTTATAATGCTTCCCGCTAGATTTAAATGTTGGTTTATTTAAATGACTTTTTGTATACATTTTTAAACAATTAGGATCGTAATAACCCACATATTGTTTAGTAGTAAAATACAAAAATAAAAAATTTCTTACGTTGGTAGTTGACCTGGACTCCACCTGCCTCCAATGCAAGTAGCACCTGGTGGACCTTCTGATAACACGTATCCCTTATCACAATCATACATAATTTGCTTGTTATTTATCACTTTTCTCACGTAAGGACGGTAATCGTACAAACCCATATTACCAACTAATAGGATTTTACCATGGTCTACATTGCCGGGATACGGACAATACACTAAAGCAAAATTTTAGTATGCGTTCTATTATTTCCCTACAAAGTTACCTTCTTCGCATTTTGGTGCTTCCCCGGTCCAATTTCCAAAGTAGCATTGCACCAAAGGATTACCTTTTAAGCTGTAGCCGTCTTTACATTTAAATCTAGCTTTCATACCGTGCTCCATTTTAGGAGCCATTACCATGCCATATTTAGGCGACTTTGGTAAAAACTTACACCTAGTGAAACAGTTTACATTATATTTCATATATTCAATAAAACAAGTAGTACCTAGCAGGTTCACATTTAGGTATGTGAGTCCAGGTGCCATTATTACAAGTTACTTCCAAAACACTTGCCAAAAACTCGTACTGATCGTTGCAATCGACTTCAAGAGCTTCTCCGTGTTGAACCACCGTTGACGTCGTGGCTGTGTCATTTCTGGACACCAAAATCACCCTACCTTGGGTTACATGTGGCACCACACAAGGTGCTATAATAAATAATTAACAGCAAAATAATTTATTGGTTGTGTAATAGGGTGATTCATTTCCGCAAAAAACTTTTTTTTTCTCGGCGCTCAAGCAAAATATTAATCTACCTATAGAAAAAAAAAATCACCAAGATATATCTAGCTCTATAGCTCTATAGAGCTCTTAATATCAATTTTAAGTACTTGCAGTTTAAATTTAAAGTTTTCCCATTTAAAATGCATGTAAAAAAATGTTTTTTTTTCAAATTTCTAATGCTCGCCCGCTCTTTACAGTATTGTGAATCGGTTTTATGGACCTTATAGGGAATTTCACGCTCTTCAAAATTGTCTTTGTGTTTTTTTGCGTAGTGGTTCGCCAGTAGGAGTCATCAAAGTTCAATTTTTTGAATGATCATTTTTTTTGCAATTTTTTTTAACAATTCGCAAAAAATAGTAAAAAAAAGAGCTGAATCGTAAAAAATAGTCTTTTAACAAATATTTGATGAATTTACGGCCATTTTTATATCTTAAAACGTAAGTAATTAATAAATATTAACCAATTATGCTATTTAAATTAAACTTTCTTATTTACTATCGATATAATTCTCTACAACAATAACTTTTCCAGAGTTATTATGATTTCTGACTAAAAATAAATATAAACATAACACATCAATTCATAAAAAAACAACAAAACTTTAATCAAAACAAATAACAGATTACATTATTAGATAATATATTGCAAATTTAATAAAAATCTCAATAGTCATAAATAAACAAGTTGATTTATATAAAATTATTTCGACTTTTATACAAAGCAAATTAAGATTTTATTTTATGACGTAACTAACGTGCCCTTAACATGTATACAGGTTCAATTTATTATTATATTATTGTTGTGCCGCCAATTTTAAATTAAGCGGCACGGCAGTGATGACGTTTTTTATCTATTACGTCACTAGCGTGCCCGTAAAAAATAAATTGCAGGCACTCTAACGTGCGGACTAATCACTAAATACAACAAACAATACATTTTGGGGTAAAGTATATCATAAAGCATCAAACCCGTTTACAAAGACAATAGAGTCGCTAACGTCATACTAATTAACTATAGAGCAATCATAAAATTGCAACAGTTGCTTTCCCAATCAAATAATTATCATTATTTTTTTACTTATGTTCGAATATGCCATCAAAATATTATTTAGTGCAATTATTCAAATAGCAATTTCTACTTATACAATATTGAAGCAAATGAAGTTGACAATAAAAACAATTTACTTTTTCGTTAATTTAATAATTTTGTTAAAAAAATTGAATATCCTTCATTTATATTTATTGCTATATTACGGAAATGTTGAAAAAGTCGCAATTGTATATATTTTTTTTTTATAAATTAATGTGTTTTTTTATACTTATTATAAGTCAAAAATCATAATAACTCTGGAAAAGTTATTGTTGTAGAGAATTATATCGATAGTAAATAAGAAAGTTTAATTTAAATAGCATAATTTTTTTCGTAAAGATGGAGATACTTAAAATAACTGTGCATAATTATGCACTAGGGGTCTGAAAGGGTTAATATTTATCAATTACTTACGTTTTAAGATATAAAAATGGCCGTAAATTCATAAATATTTGTTAAAAGGCTATTTTTTACGATTCAGCTCTTTTTTTCACTATTTTTTGCGAATTGTTAAAAAAAATTCAAAAAAAATGTTCATTCAAAAAATTGAACTTTGATGACTCCTATTGGCGAAACACTACGAGTTACACAAAAAAACACAAAAACAATTTTGAAGAGCGTGAAATTCCCTATAAGGTCCATAAAACCGATTCACAATATTGTAAAAAGCGGGCGAGCATTAGAAATTTGAAAAAAAAAACATTTTTTTTTACATGCATTTTAAATGGGAAAACTTTAAATTTAAACTGCAAGTACTTAAAATTGATATTAAGAGCTCTACCTTGGTGAAAGTTTTTTTTTCTATAGGTAGATTAAATTTTGCTTGAGCACCGAAAAACAAAAACTTTGCGGAAATGAATCACCCTAGTAAAGATACTCACCAAAGCACCTAGGTAGTGGATACCGCCACTTTCCATCTATCTGACATACTGTAGATGTGTTACCCTCGAGCAACATACCCTCGTGACACCTAAAAATAATCGAGGCCCCCAATCCAGTGCCACCTTCGATGTTTTCCAGCCACCCATTCCAAAGGCGACCCGGATGGCCACAGTTTATTTCTAAATGGAAATGGGGTAGTTAAATTTTTTCTGACCTATACTTTTTATGGTTTTATTCAAGGCGTTTTGTAATTTTAAACATTTCTGTAAAATCGGAATTTCAATTGAGTTTACCGTTTTCGAGATATTTACAAAAAAAAGTCTCCTAATTACGTCACTAGGCTATTGACAACGTTGCCAGCTTTTTCTATGGTTGCCAGTGTGTTTAATTTAAGATTCTTACGATAGATGGCGCCACGTTATAATATTTTAGTTTTAAAACCACTTGATCTATACTTTTAATTGAGAAGAAGAAGAAGAAGAATTGATTTTTTGACGTTTCTTTTTTTCGGGTTTTGTTTTTTTTTTAATTTAGATTATTGAAAATCAATGTTATCGTTATGTTATTTGTAATTGATATTAGATAAGTGATTTATTAATAACGGACTCCAAAGCAGAGGAATCTTGTGGAATGGTTGGTTACATTGAACATTGGAGCTTTTAAACAAATAAAGTAAGTACCTATAATTATAATCATATTTTGTCGTAAATGCATTTCATTAGTATAATGCCTAGTTCTTTATATTCTTTTAGATATATCTTGCTCTAAAATATCAAACAGTAATATGATACCTCGTAATAAGGAAGATAGGTACTTAATGAATTTGGTGACCATCTTTCACTCAACAGTGACAGTATTTGTACATAACCTCTTCGGGTATTTTCTGACATAACCGAATGAAATCATTAACAAGACAACTTGACAACAGGGTAATTTTCAACCAATAGAAATCTTAGAATGTTGGTCACATGGCGAGGTTTGTGACGTCATAAAAATTTATATTTTTTGTAAATATCTCGAAAACGGTAAACTCAATTGAAATTCTGATTTCACAGAAATGTTTAATATTACAAAACGCCTTGAATAAAACCATAAAAAGTATAGGTCAGAAAAAATTTAACTACCCCATTAGGTGAATCAAGTATGAGCGGCGAGTTCATGACATACCTTTACAAGTAGGTTGGGTACCGCTCCATTTTTTATCTGCCCCGCATCTTCGGGTGCTTTCTCCCAGTAACGTGTAGCCATATTTGCATTCGTAGCTCACCACCGAGTTGTAGCTGCAAGATGTGTATACTGCTTTACCGTGGCGGGGGTTTTCCGGGGGGGCGCATTGGACCGCAGTTACCACTGAAAAGTTTTATTTATTTTTATGGTTTAGTTAAAATTATATTTAAGTATAACTATAACTATTACTACTTTAATGGTAGAACATATTTTATTGAATGGTAAAAGACTCTATGTTCATAGAATAATAATTATAATAATAAATAAATAAATATAAATAAATCGTTTATTACCAAAGGCTACATAAATATATAATCTATTAAATATTTAAACGTATTATTAATAAAATTTATATGTATATAATTAATAAAATTTACTTTCTATAATTTTTCAAAAATATTTTTTTTCAATTTATGGTAAAAATTAGTACAAAATCTACATTTTGTGATTTATTATTAAAAGTTTCTGGGGAACGGCAAAAGATATAAATTTGAAATTTTTAGATCGTTTATAATCCAATTAAGTCTATTTTTCTAAAATATTTGGAACAAAAAGGCACTTCTGGATTGACAGTAACAAGTGGTATCAACTTTGTTATTTCAAATAGAACATCCCATACATTTATGCATTTTTAAATTCTTTATAAAATAAAGTAAATAGTTTTCGAGTTTGCGCATATACGGGCTTAATTTTTAAAATTTTAAAACACTGTTTAAAAGATTTCGTGTCAATTCCTTAAAATATCTCAACAAATTACTTAAGAAAAAACATGAAAAATTTTACACAATCAAATAGAAAATAAAAAAACTATTTCCTATACATAAATTTAATAATTTCAGGGATATTTAACAATTTTTAATATTAGTCAAAAAGAGCAATTCAAATGTAGCCTTAATATATGGTATATTTTTATAAAAATTGTTAATTAAAATATTATTGGTTTATTACATTGTTACAGTTACACATTCTTTTTGCTATTAAAATATCTTCTATTCTTCTATTTTCTTTACAAAACACTTAAATAGTCCACAAATTGTTTATAACAAATTAAAAAATTGACGTATTTAAATTTGGAGCAATAACAGATTACGTTTTAACAGGGTTTTAAAATTTCAGAAAAATTTGAGCCGTCTCAAAAATACGGTTTTTTTTCGGGAAAAAACGGAAAAATTGAAAAATGCTTTTTTTAGTTTTATTCAAAGGGTAATACAAAAAAATTTAAAAGTCAGTTTTTCTGAAAATATTTGTATGTACTCTCTAAAAATGAATTAGTCAAAAATGACTAATTACTACTGTTATTAGTGGCTGTTTTTTCACTTATACCATAGTACACTATAAAATACCATGGTACCCCCGACATAATAGCCAATTCTTATGTAAAATTGCCCGCATAACCCGAAAATGTCCTCAAAATTATAAAAGTAGAACAGTTTTTAAGATATAGTCCATTTTCCATATAATATGGAATTGACTATATCTCAAAAACTGATCTACTTTTATAATGTTGAGTTTTATTTTTTTTCTGTAATAAATTTATTATCCATCGGGATATTTTTTTTAATTAACGAAATGTTAAGTTGTTGATAGCATTGCAAATTTTCAGAAAAAAAATCAATTTTTCCTAAAAAAGGCAATTTTTTCAAGGCCTGAGAAAAACGGAAAAACAGTTTTTTTCCCCAATTTTGACAGTTTTTTTCTGATACTTTAATATATAATATTTAAAATTTTAGAAACTTTAGGCATAGGACATCGTATGATAATTTTTTTAAATTTCAAATTAAATCTTTTTCCGTTACCCAGAAACTCCTAATGGACCACGAATGTAAAACACCCTGTATTTGACAATCTTGAGTAAGGTTTATTATTATCTATTTCTTGCAAAACATGGTGGCAATATTCTTTTAATAAAAAAGTTCATAACATTTTTGAATAAAAAGAGTTTTAAAGTAGACAGTTATCGGACACTTTATAGGTATTGGACAATTAACATACTGTAAAAACAAGAGTTCTATAAATAGTAAAATCATTAGATGTATACAATTATAAATACCTCAGTCGGTAATAATATAGAACTACTTTATTCTGGGTCCAATATAGGGCAAAAAAGTTTGCACGTTACTTTGGTGGTAAGATTTTTGTTTTTTTGTTAAGAGCAGGGCTGTGTTTAAATTACAATAAAAAATATTTCTAAAAAGTGTACAGATCAGTGTGTGGTATAAATGTGTTCCTCATGGTTTAAACATTATCATTTTAATGCGTTTTAATTTTAATTCTGAAAACAAACAGTAAAATAGCCAGTGTCCAATTACTGGTTGGTAAAAAATGTACATTTCTATTATTGGACTTACCAGCCAATTCTTATGTAAAATTGTCCCCTAAATCCAAAAAGACCGTCAAAAACTATAAAAGTTAAGCAGTTTTGACGACATTTTCGGATTCAGCGAATAATAATTCATAGGAATTGACTGCTAAATGTCCAGGATACAAATTGCTGTTGACGAGAATTATTAGTGACTGCTTTTTCGCTATGACATTTTTTACTAATTCATTTTTAGAAAGTAAGTAATATAGTGATTTCTTCGTCACAGGACATCTTGCAGAATAACAGTGATTTTAATACAGTGCATGATAGAGAACATAAAAAACTAATGGCAGCAAAATTAATAAATTCGGAAAATACTTTTAACATACCACCCGAAAAAATATTAGATATATATAAATCATCCTGTTCCGGCCTAAACATTATAAATGCTTCACAAACTAGAGATACCACACTGAATGATATTTGCAACAAACTATTTCAGAAGTCAGACCAAGGAATTAGTAGTTACCTTCAGAATCCAGAAAAGGGATGAGGAATCCGAGGAAGAAATATATGAATTATAAAGATATTTACATAAACGAAATAAAAAAAATTACCTAAAACAGCAATTTATCTTTAAAAAATATTTAACAATTTATGTTATTTGATGTAAAGTTGTTATGTTTATATAAAAATTGTATGTCCAATAACTATGGTCCATGTGTCCAATTACTATATAAAATGTCCAATTACTATACTTTTTAGCATGTTTTTATGAAACTATTATTAAAAATTCAAATATTCTTATTTTTAGGTAAACGTTAATAAAGTGTGCACGGTGGTCTAAACTAAAGTATAGGACGAACAAAAATGCCAACCAAAACTGATATCATAATCTGGTAACACAAAAATGTATTTATCAAAATCCCAGCTGATCCTTTATTAAAGTTTTGCATATTTCTTAGTATTTTAAAATTGTTTATGCCATTTCGATAAAATACTCTAGTACCATTATCAAATGTTTTTAAAAATTTTGCAGATACATAAATGAAATATGGATAAATTACATAATAAATACAAAATAATGTAAAATACAGTTTGCAATATCTTATTTATTGTTTTAAGGTACCAAATACAAAACTAATAAATAACTAAAGATTCTTTGAAGCAAAATCGATTACTGCTTGCCTTAAATTTTCAGTAAAACTTTTTCTTGGGTTTAACATAGAATTGTTTTTAACATGGAAACAGTATTTTTAAATTCTTCAGTCTCTGTACAAACATGCTTCTTACATCTAGCGATATCCCCTAGAAAGGAAGAGCATATCAAAACTTTAGTTCGTTCGTCCGTCCTCTTCCCTTAATAATTTTTATGCCCTTTATATCTTGCCATTTTGCAGATAAAGCACATACATTCTTGGCTGCCGCGAAATTCTCTAGCAATTTCTAAATTTTGAAAATTTGGCAATTGTGGCTATGCAAAAATACCGTTTTTACCATATTGAAGTAGGTAATTTTGAATCACTTAAGTTAAAGTGTTTGTTTGAAAAAGTCTGCAGTAATTTTTATATTTTCTCAGAAACCCTAAACTATGAATTTTTCGATTACCAAAAACAATTTTGTCTCCACAGCCAGCAGATACCTTCTTACGATTTTCTTCATGGCTTAACTTGAATTTCGGTTTAATATTAATTTTAAAATACTATTTTTAACTTTATAAAGTATACATTAAATAAACAACTAAAGCAAAATGTCACTTGCGTTATAACGTATAGCTTTTTTTTTCATAACCACCCTAATTATTTTTTTACAAAATTTGCAAGTTGTAATTATTTCATAGACAAACTTCTGGTATTTTTTGTTGTAAAAAATATTTAAGATATATATCTTCGTTTTTTTTTGTAATGTTTTGTTTTGAGTGGTAAAAAATAATAGGTGACTCAATAAATTAATACTGATACAAAGTTTATTATTTTGCTTAATTTTATTAAAATTGTACAGGTAGTTTTAGTACAATAATTGCAAAATAATATATAGAAATAGAAAAACAAAAAAGTTTGCAAAACTTTAAAATAGGATCAGCTGGGATTTTGATAAATCCATGTTAGTGTTACCAAAAGGGTCTATAATCAAAATATGCTATCAGTTTTGGTTGGCATTTTTGTTCGTCCTATACTTAAGTTTTGACCACCGTGTGTGGTTTACTAAATTAAAATGAAAACAAAAACATTGCCTATTAAAATTTGTATTAATTACTCCCGGCGAATCCGCCATTTTTTTAAAAATCTACAAAATATATATATATATATATTCATTTATTCTGTTGTCCAACGCTACTGCTAAAACTCTGTGTTTACTTTAAACATTATTTGAAATTGCGATGCTGACCATAAAGCAGTGTTCGATGGCAGCAAATTCGGGGACCCGACAACTAAAACGCTCCATTAAATTACAAACTGGCGCAATTAATGGCAGCGGAAATAACAAGCGCCGAAGATCAGTCGGGTGTGTAATTAGTGCAAATTGCAGCTACAAAATATGTGCTAAATTTTAAATTAACGATAAACTTTTTTATGCCGATTACCGTGCATCAAAAGTTACCCAAAGCTTTTAATGCACTTTGTTTGATTATGCTGTTTTATTTTTATCCGTTTTGATCGCGTAAAAGAGTTGTTGGACAAATTCGAATATTTAATTCATCACATACGTCACTATATAAAAAGAATAGTTTGTTTGTTTAAACTTTATTTACGTTTACTTAAAAATAAGAATATTTGAATTTTTAATAATAGTTTTACAAAAACATGCAAAAAAGTATAGTTATTGGACATTTTATATAGTAATGGACACATGGACCATAGTTATTGGACATACAATTTTTATATAAACATAACAACTTTACATCAAATAACATAATTTGTTAAATATTTTTTAAAGATAAATTGCTGTTTTAGGTAATTTATATATCATGCACTGTATTTAAATCACTGTTTTTCTGCAAGTTGTCCTGTGACGAAGAAATCACTATATTACTTACTTTCTAAAAATGAATTATTCAAAAATGCCATAGCGAAAAAGCAGCCACTAATAATTCTCGTCAACATCAATTTGTATCCAGAACATTTAGCAGTCAATTCCTATGAAATATTGTTCGCTGAATCCGAAAATGTCGTCAAAAGGTTTAAAAGTAGAACAGTTTTTGAAATATAATCAATTTTACATATAATATGGAATTGACTATATCTCAAAAACTGCTTAACTTTTATAGTTTTTGACGGTCTTTTCAGATTCAGGGGAAAATTTTACATAAGAATTGGCTGGAAAATGTCCGGGATACAAATAGAGTATGATATTGGACATATGTCCAATATAGAAATTTACATTTTTTACCAACCAGTAATTGGACACTGGCCATTTTACTGTTTGTTTTCAGAATTAAAATTAAAACGCATTAAAGTGACAATGTTTAAACCATGAGGACCACATTTATACCACACACTGATCTGTACACTTTTTAGAAATATTTTTTATTGTAATTTAAACACAGCCCTGCTCTTAACAACAGAGTCATCTAATGATTTGACTTTAAGGTAACTATTTATAAAACTCTTGTTTTTACAGTATTAATGTTAATTGTTCAATAACTTTACCCTACGTAGAAAACACCGATTGTGTAGTTTTTGGTTTACGATACAAACCGTTGTTATAGCAACGTGGTGTTTTTACTTAAATTTGTTTGAATTTTCACCTAATAATTTAGTACCTGTTACATTGTTACAACAATGCATGAGTGAAATATTAATGGTATTTTTACTTGGAAGAAATTACAAAATCCTAAAAACTACCTCAAGTAGCACAACTGGTTAAATTAACGTTAAATATACGTAATGCCAGGTTAATTCATTTAAGTAATTTTGTACTACAACGTTAAATTAACCTTAAATTAACGTTATAAGTGGGGAATTAAATTATGGTAAATTTAACTTTTTGGTTAAAAAGAAGGTAATATTTGGTAATTTTTGGTTTATTTTACCCCTTTTTTTAACTCTATATTTATTTTATATATTTGCCAAATATGGGAGATTTTTTTTTTGATGAAGTGGTACATATTTAAAATACGCTTAAAAAAAGAAATAAAAAATAATAAAAATAAATAATATTGTTTGCCTTTTATTGCTTTATTTCGTTTGAAATTGATTTAAAGTACTTTTAAACGTAAAATAATATAATATATTATGAACATAACATTTTTTAAATGCAGGTAACAATGAAAACTGCAAAATTATCACTTTTTAACCAGTTTATTAACTAATGTTTATTTACCCGCGAGTTAAAATATTTTTGGTAAAATATAACTTGTTGGTTAAAAAATATACCCAAATTAACTAAAGCTGTGGTTAATTTACCAAAAAGTTATATAAAACGTTAAACCAAAATATGTCTAAATAACTAGTCTTTTCAAAGGTAAAAATAAGAAGTTAATATAACGTTATGTAACTTCTAAAATAACCCGCTTTTTAACTTATAAGTAATATTACTAACTAGTTAAATATTTAGTTTATTTATTAGTCAATTTAAACTCTTGAAATACCCTTAATGTACCTATAGATTATTTTTTAGTTTATAGTAACCTTAAAAAAATGTTAATGGTTGAATACAACTAATTGGTTAAAAAACAAGTTTAAAAAAAAACAAATTTTACTTAGATTTTGGTTAATTTACTTAAAATTCTAGTTATTTAACCAATTGTGTTACTTGGGACTGAACCGAATAAGCTATAATTTGTATGGTATGTTGTACCAACAATTGACCGCTCAATATTTTGACCCCCTTAAATACAGCGGATATTACAAAACAAGGCTTTTGCACGTTTCGGGTTAAAATAATTTATTCAAAACAAATGTGATGTTAAGCTATTGAATTTAAATTAAAGATTAACCATTGAATATGTTCATTTGGGGAGCGCTATAATATGAATAATTGTCATAAAGGATTTAAAAATGTTTCAATTTTGTTTGAATTTAATTTTGTTTCGCTGCTTTAATTTTTAACGATCCTTTTAGAGGATATCATCCGTAAATTCTTGCGATAATTTCTACAGCACAGTCCTCAACAACTTATTTGCATACTGAAAAAGTGAAAGCGAATGGACTTTAAACTTGTTTTAAAAAGTTTGACGAGCATCTTAACAGTTTATACCAAAAAATTTTAATACGGATTTTATTTTCTGCAGTCTCGGCCTCCTTGACCTAAAATAAAATTTTACCAAAAATGGGTTAAAAGAGATCTAAGTCGCTGAGTTAATCTAAGAAGAAAATAAATCGTGGTATACCATAGGTAAAGTGGTATTTCCGTGGATTATACGGACAAATTGTGTTTGGATAACATATTTTGCATTTAAAATAAGAGCCATATCCCAACTTTCGTGGCATTAAAAAAAATAATACTACCAATAAAAGTTAATATTAAGGCTGGAAATTGAATTCAAATTTTAATTTTAATATTTTAACTACTAAAATTTTAATTATTATTTTAATAATACAAATTTAATTCAAATTATTTGAATATTTGTAATTTTGAATCATTGAAATATTTAAATAATTAAAATATTTGCCTTATTTGAATATAAATAAGAATAAATATTTAAATATAAAAATTTCAAAAATTCCCAGCCTTTTATTTTTTAACACAAGTATAGTTTGCAAAGATTTGACACTATTAGTTTTTTTGGTATGTTATCTTAAGTAAAAACAAGCACCACCTACAAATTTCATTATCGATTTAAAAAAAATTTCGAAAAAATACACTAAATTCGTAAACAATCGCAAATCAAAAATTTTCCCATCATTTTTTTTTATTGAATTAGTTTTTGGAAACTAATAACATTAGACATTGGTCAAAATCAAAATTGTTAATAATATAAAAAACTATTTTTTTTTATAATTTTAGTTTTTTTCATCGTTATTTAAACGTTTTTTTTCTTTCTTTTATCAATCCAATCAATATTTTGGCCTTTTGGCCCCCTTTTTTCCAAGAAAACAAATATAATTTAGCAGTAAAATATAAGGTACCAAAAATAATTAAAATTTGTAAAATATTTAAAGATTAGATTAGAATAATTTTTGCTAAAATTAAATTATGAAGACTTCAGATACATACATATTTCTTAAAATATTAATTTCCCAAAACAAAACAAAAATTATTAACTACTAGAAAACCCGTTTTTACATGTCTAATCCAGACTCTTCCTGGAAGAGTCTTCCAAACCAAACCAAAAAAAGCATTAAACAAACACAACTTAGATATACTGAGAGAAATAAATATTTGTTAATAACAAGGCACGTTAACTATTAACATATCGTTGAGTTGGATATGGCGAAAGAAATATTAATTTGGGTCTAAGAACTGGTTAAGTTGAATTAAAGAAGCTCATAACGTATTAGCAAATGTAAATATATTAACTGTTAATATATCGAAATTCCATTTTGTAAAAAACTACGGCAACGTCACATGCTTGCGCATATTGCATTTAAAATTATGTCGACAAATGTTAAAACGTTTTATTCGAATTTAGGTATATTAACTGTTAATATATCACAGTTCTAAGACAACTTTATCCTTTATTTGTCTGAAACACAATCACCGGACGATGTTATAATAATTAGTATATAATTTGTTCACGATTAAGAAATTTTTTAATAGTTAACATATGTTTTAAAAAAATGGCAACTGTTTTGATTTCTTAATAATAAATATTTATTTTTCTCAGTGTAACAGAGAGATATACTTACGAACGCAAGTGGGCAACTCCTTGGGCATCCAGGTGCCGTCCGCCTGGCAGAAGCGCTCGTTCCTGCCGACGAGCTCGTAGCCCTCGGCGCAGTGGTAAGTGATGCGGCACCCGTACGTGTAGCACTCGCCGGCGTGCCAGCCGTGAGAGATGTCCGTCGGCGCGCCGCACGACCGAGCTGAAACCGCAACGCAACCCCGACGCTTAATTTGTTAAGTGTCGGGCTTAAAAGCTAAAAGCAGCGGCTACGCTCGGGTTATTAGGAAATATGGCTCGAATGAAATGTGCCGTTGAAAGTTTTGGGACGGAACGAGCCAAGATCCTTACAAAATGTATCTTTTAAAATGGCATACTAAAACATTATAAATTAAAAAAAATAAAGTAAATAATAAAATATCATACATAAATTTGTTTTTTAAAACTTTAAAATATACATCTGGATTAGGGTGATTCAAAAAAAGCCTTTTTTTAAAAATGAACCCGCACTGGCCTAAATTATAAAGATTACATTAAAACTAAAAGATTAATACCAAAAAATCCAAATTCGATGAATATTTAGAGGTCGCTCAAATCGATTTTCGTATTTTTGCACATTCGAGCCGCGAAATTATTACTGCGCAAAATACTAAATAACTCCGTTAGTTTTTATTCGATTTTATTAAAAATTTAAGGGTTACCTAGTTTTTTAATACCCTCTGAGACAGTGAATTAAACTTTACGGAAAAAAAATTTTTTTCATGAAAAAAAAAATATTTTGTTAATAAAAACGTATCATCTTATAAAATAAGCAACAATTGGAATCGCACTATGATGGTACCGTAAAAAAACTAAGAAAATAACACTTAAATTATTTAGCATACATAAAACCTGCCGAAAGAAATATTTTGTTTGATTTATATAAAACATAACCTAATAATAATTAAGTTATTCAAATTTTTCCCATTTTCATACGATTTTATAAATAATTTATATCCGTTTTATTAATTATGACGTATTTTTATAAAATTTCTTTATTTTTGATACCATATTTAATTAATTACACTAAGTAGTTATTAATTTATGTCCTTTTTATAATTAAAATAAAAAAAATCCACTGCTCTACATCTTTTTCTTTGCAATGATTGTTTCTAATGTTAATTTTTTCAACCATTTTTTCTTTTGTTTCAGTAGGTACTCTTTTATCAAAAAATGCAAAACAAATTAGCCAAATTAGCTCTTCTATTTGCAAATCTATATTCTTGTAAACATGAAGTTCATGAAGTGTTTTCAAATCATTTTTGGGCGCGCAAGTTGCATTTGGAGCTTGGAACCAGGCAAATATGTAAACGAAATAATAAAAATACAAATTCTACGCAATGACTTATTTTCATTGTTAGTGGGTTTAAATTGATCCCGAAATAAGAAAATCTTTAGAGAGTATATAGCTTTGTTCATCCATCTGGTACTTGGACGCTTTTGAATTAAGTAAATAATATATATATATATATATATATATATATGTATATTAGGGTGCTTCAAAAAATTTTTTTTTTCGCTCTTACCCTCTCAAATTTTTTTATTTAATATAAAAAAAATCCTCACCAAATATGGGCGTTCCAGCTCAACTCTAAGAGGTCGCTGTTTTTATTTTAGTTTCCCATTGAATTAACATGGGAAAAAATTAATTTATGTTTGGAATTTTATACCTCTGTATCAAAGTAACTTATGGCAATGATGATTGCAGTTTCTTATATAAAATTTAACGCTCTACAAAAAAGGTCTCTTATTATTTTTCGATAAATTGATTTTTTCTAGAGTTATTCGAGGTCAAAGTTTGATTAACATTAAATTTTCTGTTTTTTTTTTAATTTTATGGTATAATTAGCAGACGGGAGGTGAAAGGTGGCAAAACAAGGCAGCGTTGTCCCCCCCCGCTGGGGCACCCAAAAAGTTTCGTAAATTTTTTGTATTATTGTTTTTTTCGGTTTCTAAATCATTTGAAAATATATTTACTCACCAAGAAAAAGGATGGTACAATTTTGGAAAACTTTTCATTTGCTCATTTTTTGGGTACCCCATTTTGCCCCCCCCCCCGCTGCCTTGTTTTGCCCCCTTCTACCTCAAGTCTGCTAATTGTACCATAAAATTAAAAAAAAACAGAAAATTTGATGTTAATCAAACTTTGACCTCGAATAACTCTAGAAGAAATAAATTTATCGAAAAATAATAAGAGACCTTTTTTGTAGAGCGTTAAATTTTATATAAGAAACTGCAATAATCATTGCCATAAGTTACTTTGATACAGAGGTATAAAATTCCAAATATAAAATTATTTTTTCCCAAGTTAATTCAATGGGAAACTAAAATAAAAACAGCGACCTCTTAAAGTTGAGCTGGAACGCCCATATTTGGTGAGAATTTTCTTTATATTAAATAAAAACATTTGAGAGGGTAAGAGAGAAAAAAAAATTTTTTTGAAGCACCCTAATGTATATATATAAATTTATATTTATATAATTTATCAACTACCTGGTAGTAGGTCCTACTATCAAAATTTAAGAATAATAATTATTATTGTGGTATGTCAATTTAGCAACATCTAGACAGAATCAAATAATTTTGGTATCAAAATTTGAGAATTGTTGTATGTCAATAATTTAAATAAAATTTAAATTTCTGCTTAAGCCATATCAATGCAGTGAATAATTTTGTAGTTAACGTTATTTTATTTTTGTTGTAAAAATGACCTAATTTAATAACTAGGTACCTAGTGTAATTAATTAAATATGGTATCAAAAATAAAGAAATATTATAAAAATACGTCATAATTAATAAAACGGATATAAATTATTTATAAAACCGTTTGAAAATGGGAAAAATCTAAATTACTTAATTATTTTTAGGTTATATTTTATATAAATCAAATAAAATATTTCTTTCGGCAGGTTTTCTGTATACTAAATAATTTAAGTGTTATTTTCTTAGTTTTTTTACGGTACCATCATAGTGCGATTCCAATTGTTGCTTATTTTATAAGATGATACGTTTTTATTAACAAATTATTTTTTTTTATGAAAAAAAATGTTTTTTCTTTAAAGTTCAATACATTGTCTCAGAGGGTATTACAAAACTAGGTAACCCTTAAATTTTTAATAATATCGATTAAAAACTAACGGAGTTATTTACTATTTTGTGCAGTAATAATTTCGCGGCTCGAATGTGCAAAAATACGAAAATTGATTTGAGCGACCTCTAAATATTCATCAAATTTGGATTTTTTGGTATCAATATTTTAGTTTTAATGTAATCTTTATAATTTAGGCCAGTGCGGGTTCATTTTTAAAAAAAGGCTTTTTTTGAATCACCCTAATCTGGATGGATAATATATATATATATATATATATATATATATATATATATATATATATATATATATATATATATATATATATAAAATTTTATATATATATATAAAATTTTTGTGGTTTTAACAATCATAAACATTAAATTTTGTATACCAAAATTTGAGTCTTGAGTTGCTCTTTCATAATAACTAAGTTATAATATTACATAGGGCTGAGTTTCAAAAATAAACATTAAAAACTGGGTGTGCAAAGTTACCCCCTGGTTGCGGGTTACTTTGTCTCACAGTGATTTTTCAGTATAAAATGAATGTAATATTATATTTTATTTTTATTAGACACGTGTTAGCAGCGACATATATCTATTGCAAGGGGTTTCCAATAAAAAAAATTAAAAATCGACCTGTAGTTAACCAAGGATCATCATTCCAATGGATTGCGCATAATATAGAAATTGTAACGCGTGTATTTCTAAGCTTTTTGCACTGATACGATATATACAATTTTAAAGTGTAATAAATCCAATTTCTTTCTTTAAAACATTGATTTTCCTGTAATATAAACTCAATAGAATCGCTCAATTGACAGGTTTAGACCAACAAATTATAAATGTTAATTTTATCGAGCGCGAAAAGATTTTTCATAAATGGGTCACCCGCGGGGTGCAAAGTCACCCGTATTTACGGTACATATTATATATATATATTATATATTTTTTTTGAATCACCTTAATATATAAATATAAATTTCTTTTAGTTTCGTTTCTTCTTAAAAAGGCTTTTCAATTATTGTCATGAACAAGATTTATTTAAAAAAAAACAGAACTAAACTTCAAAATGGTTCTGTTAATTCTGTTTTCCGTCGTAAAAATAATATTCGACGAAAATAAAAGAACGATAATGTAGCAAAATATTTAATAACTTGTTTGGGAAAATCAATTTTGCAAACTTCCTAAATTAGTTCATAAAATATTAATATGAGTTGGGAATTGGAAAAATTCCAGGTAGTTGACAAAGGAATGAAAATTGAATTTTATTTAACGAGAACAATTTTGTAAAAGTTTAGCTCGAGTTGGTATACACGTAAAATTATTTGTAATTTCATACAATTACTCTTCTGTATACGTATATTTAACTCAATAAAATTAAGTTGCCAGCATATTTGTCAAAAGTTTAACTTATATTTGTATAAAATACTAAAATTTGAATTTGTGAATAACATACATAATTAGTTTTAATTATCATTTTCCCCCTGGAATTTGAAATTGAATAATTTAAATATTAATAACATTCTGGCTCTGAGAAATGTGAGGTGAAACTTTCTGGAGGAGCAAAAAAAACAGTCATAAGTCACTTTTGATTTGAAAGCACCTTTGAATATTTTAATTTAGCGCTGTTCTCTTTAACTTCATAAATTATTTTTTGGATAAAAGAAAATAAATAACTTCATAAATTATTTTTTGGATAAAAGAAAATAAAAAAGCATTTCTTTTATTCATCTCAGACAGTGACAAAAAATAAATGCAGTATTGTGTACCTAATGGCCCCTAATTATTTTTCAAATCGTAATATTAGGTACCCTATCGTTGAGTAAGATTTTTTTTATAAATACAATTTATGTGGGGGCCTCAGTTGCCCTGATTGCTCTCCCTTAAATCCGGCCCTGGTTGTGAATTAGAATATTGCGTTAGTTATTTCAATTAAGTTAAGTTGATACTGCCCTCTTGGCACTTCTTAAATAAGCAATTTGACGTTAAAAAGTAGTATTCTTAAAAAAATTGATAATTGTTTACGTCAATACTTTTTTTTGTTCAAAAGATAAAATATATATTTGATAT